TTACAGTACTGTATCACATGTACTGTAACTCTCTACTGCAGACTGTATTTGCAGTATTTACAGTACTGTATCACATGTACTGTAACTCTGTACTGCAGACTGTATTTGCAGTATTTACAGTACTGTATCACATGTACTGTAACTCTGTACTGCAGACTGTATTTGCAGTATTTACAGTACTGTATCACATGTACTGTAACTCTGTACTGCAGACTGTATTTGCAGTATTTACAGTACTGTATCACATGTACTGTACTGCAAGTTGGCTATTGCTCCTTTTGAAAAATGGTAGTTCTGTGAACCATACGATACTGTAAAGTACAAAGTACTGTAACATTGAGATGTCACAGTACTGTGTACAGTATAGGTGTCAAAGTCGGGGCCCGGGGGCCAGATCCAGTGGCCCCTGAGAAGATTTTAAATTGTCATATTAAATAGCAGCATTGATGGTGATGTTATCCATAACTAATATTCTCAACTCAAGAAAAAAACCATAACATTTAATTCCATAAGAAATGTGAAGCCAACATGTAATGAGAAGTTAGAATTGTTATGGGTTTTTTTACGAGTTAATTTTTTTTTTTTTTAACGAGTTCAATTACATTTCTTCTCAAAGGTATGAAGGAGGATTTCCCAATTTTCATAGGAAAGAACCTCCCTCTCCACTTTTTGAACAAAACTCTCTGGTCTTATTTGACAAGCACGAATCACCAGAATGATTGACACTTGGGAGGACCAACAGTCTTGATGATCCACCCGGAAGTAGAAAATCATCCTATATATCTTCAATGTTTGGTATCGATTGGATATACTTTTCTAATCAGAAAGTTATTTATAAAAAATTATAAATGAAACCCACTTATTCTTTCGGCCCCTGACCAGCCCTTTCATTTTTCATTCGGCCCGCAACCAAAATGAGTTTGACACCCCTGGTGTACAGTATACAGAACTGTAAAAAATAAACAAAATAAAAAAATAAACCTTTAGTAAAAAATTGTGGTTGCATATTTCTACAGAATGACTAGGAGACCTTCTCGAGGTGCTCCACAGCTGGTCTTTGTGGAGACAGTCTGAGCAGGGACTATGATCCATAATCCACACACACACAAATGCCTAGTTTTACATTAGAGGTTTTTTGTGTAATGCATTGACACAAATGCAATAAACTAAACTATAGTACTGTGATGTACAGTATTGAGTTGATATTATTTGTAACCTTTCAGTACTTCCTGGTTGTTGATAAACCTTTGAGAACAAAATCAGTTCCATTGAGCTTCACAAAACAAAACAGTACAGTGCAGTGCAGTGCAGTGGTGTGTTGCTTCCAATCTGAAAGTGTGTTCACATGGTGCAAGTGTGTGTCATTTTGTCCTCAGAATTTCATTTTGAGGACAAAAGATTGTTTAGTTTTGAGAGCAGAGTTTGAGTTTTGATAAAGGAGTTTAATTTTGAGACAGATGTGAAAGGTTTATGTCCCAGTGTTGTCATGTCATTGTCTTCCCCTTTATTTGTCAATTTCTGGGTCAGGGGGTCAGGGGGTCGGGGGGGGGACTTCTTCAAGTCTCACAGCACCAGTCCCTCTGATCTTCTTGCAGGGGGTGGGTCCACAGGAAGATGGCTTCTCCGTCATTGACAAAATGGCCTTGGTCTTTCAGCGGGGGCGTCAGGTAACGTGGGGTTAAGTGTCTTGCCCAAGGACACAATGACAGCAGTGGGAGCAGGTGACATGGGTCGTGGTGGGCTCAAACCCACGGCCATTAGGTCCAAAGATCAGTGCTCTACCAACTGAGCCACTGTCGCCCTGTCCAAGTGTGTCAGGTTCTCTTGTGTGTAGAGTTTTGGGACAATGAGCGAAATTTTGCAAAATGTGTTCAAGCAAAAGAAAAAAACTGTAACCATTGATCATGACCAAATTGTATTCAACTACCTTTTAGGCTGTAAACATGTGAATGGCTTGTGCTCAGTAGTTCATGGGACTTCACGGGGACCGTGAGATTAGAGGAACTCGCCTATATATGGGCATCGTCTGGTCCTCCCGGTTCTGCGCAAACCGTGTGTGGCTTTCATGCACGCGCTCAGAGGGGCTCGGCCGCGCTCTGACCAATCAGAGCTGATCATCAGAGCAGCGGAAGAGCGGAGTCAGAGCGGGAAGGAAAGGAGCAGAGTTTGTGGCAGTAAAGTGTGGATTTAAAGAAAACCGAAGGATTTAAGAAGAAAAAAAGTTCAGGATGACAAGGGACACTAACATCTCACAAAATCTGACCTTTATGAAAGCTGTAGGTTCTCTGTCAGGTTCTCTGTCAGCTGAGGTCGAGCTGTTTTAATATACATTGAGTTCTATGGGACTTTTTTCTGGGTAGCCCTCATGAATTTAGTCTGCAGTACCACAGCGCCCCCTGTGCCCAAAGGTGGGACAGCTTTAAGCTAGTAATACTCTATCCAGTTATTATTATAGATCCATAGTAGGGCACCGCAGCTGGAAGGGCCCTGGAGAGCGGACTCATCTTTTTGTTTTGTTTACATCGCTCTCACTCGTGCAGTTACGAGGCCCTTCTTATCCGGAATCACCCATTTGATTGGTTTTTAAAGTTGTCACTTGCTGTCTCCCATGATCCTCAGTCCTTGCGTCGCACATTCAGCCCTCCCCTCCCTCCACCCTGTTGTTGTCAGTCACGCAGCCACAGCAGAGGCTGAGACGCTGAAGTGATGAATAAAGGAAAAAAAGACCAAACTGCGGGAACAACAGTCGCGTAAAAAACGTGTGGTGCCGACCCGGCGCATTGACGTCTGCAAAGAAAGTTGAATATTGTGTCTGACATGTTTTATTTCTGTTTTTAACGAGTCCCAAAACAACTTCATCAGTCAAGCTCTTTGTTGTGGTGAAGGTGCACACCTTCAAAATAAACCTGCTTCCTTTGGTAATCGGAAGTATTTTGTTATATTTGTAATTTAGACATAATATTAACAGTGTTAGCATAATGCACTACTAATATTAAGGTTATAAATACTAGGTGATAATAATAATTATGATAATGGTACTAGATTATTAAAGTGATAATTTCATCATACAATATCTATAATTCATTTGTTGTGTTAATAAAAACACACTTGAGAGCTTCAATGGGTCAGGAGCGGTTAAGTGGTCTTGCAATGTACATTTTGAGTACATTTTCCACATTGTATGTTCTGTATTGTGCTGGTAAGTTTAATACTGCACTATTTATTGGAATTTAATTATTTTTGTATTTTAACATGTTTGCACACTTCTGTCTTTTGCACAAACCTTGAGTGATTCTATCCATGCCAGATGTGACATGTACATTTCTCCGGTGTGAGATCAATAAAGTCTGTCTTATCATATCTTAGCTTATTTTATTGTGTGTAAAAAGGTCAAATGTTATTTCATCCTGTGTTGAATCAATCACTAATCAAGTCTTATATTGCTTGATACAGCGGACGCTCTCCCACCTGGAGCCTGCAGGGGGCGCTGTGAGGGTCATGTTTTTGACTTCTCCAGTGCTTTCAATACCATCAGGCCGGCACTGCTGCAGGGGAAGATGGAGGACGCGGGAGTGGACAGTAGCCTCACTGCATGGACCATCAACTACCTCACTGCATGGACCATCAACTACCTCACTGCATGGACCATCAACTACCTCACTGCATGGACCATCAACTACCTCACTGCATGGACCATCAACTACCTCTCAGAGCGACCACAGTACGTGCGGCTGCGCAGCTGTGAGTCTGAGGTGGTCGTCTGCAGCACTGGGGCCCCTCAGGGCACTGGGGCCCCTCAGGGCACTGTCCTCTCACCGTTTCTCTTCACCATCTACACCTCAGACTTCACACACGACACAGACAGCTGTCACCTGCAGAAGTTCTCCGACGACTCCGCCATCGTGGGCTGTGTGTCTGAGGGGAACGAACTGGAATATCGGTCGGTTATCAAGGACTTTGTCGACTGGTGTGAGCGCAACCACTTGTGCTTGAACACCAGTAAGACCAAGGAGATGATCATCGACTTCAGGAGAAAACCACTTTCCCACACGCTGCTGAACATCCAGGGGGAGGACATTGAGCTGGTGGACAGCTTCAAGTACCTGGGTGTTCACATTAACAATAAACTGGACTGGTCCATAATACAAACGCCCTGCACAAGAAGGGCCAAAGTCGCCTCTTCCTTCTGAGGAGGCTGAGGTCCTTCGGAGTGAGCAGGCCTCTGCTCAGGACTTTTTATGACTCTGTGGTAGCCTCTGCCATACACTGGACCCCGGGCAGCACAGAGCGGGACAGGAGTAGACTGAACAAGCTGGTCAGGAGGGCCAGCTCCACTCTGGGCTGCTCCCTGGACTCTGTGGAGGAGGTGAGGGACAGGAGGCCCCTGGATTCTGTGGAGGAGGTGAGGGACAGGAGGCCCCTGGACTCTGTGGAGGAGGTGAGGGACAGGAGGCCCCTGGATTCTGTGGAGGAGGTGAGGGACAGAAGGGTGCTAGCCAAAGCCACCTCCATCATGAACAACACCTCCCACTGCACAGGACTGAGGAGGAGCTGAGGAGCTCCTTCAGTGGAAGACTGAAACACCCTCAGAGTAAGAAGGAGCAGGGCCTTTATCCCCACCGCTGTCAGACTGTACAATAAGTCACTTTGAGTCACTGTATATGACTGATAAGACCTGCACTACTATTGACACTTCTTCTAATTGCCACTTTTGTACATAATGTCCTATTTGCACATTTCTTACTTTCTGCACAATCTGAGTGTTTCTATCCCAAACGTGACATGTACATTTCTCCTGTTAAAGTACATCTTATCTTATACTGGTGTGCAGTGCTCTTAAATATTTGCACCTCATCAATTACACTTTGGTATGCTTGACTTTTTTGACCAACCACTAAAAATATTTCTTCATAATGTTTCTGTTTTATACAGACCTTTTTGTGTGTCTGAATCTTTAAATTATCATCCATACACTCTGAAAATGACCACTAGTGTTATATTCAGAAAACATGAGCTGAGCCTTTGAACAGCTTCCCGTCACTACCTTCAGGGTCCAACAGCTTGGTGAGTCCCAGGTGCTGCTCTGCGATGGTGAAAGCCTGCTGAAGGTTGTGTGTAGCATTGGAGCGGGTCAGTTTATGGAAGTCCATAAGGTCCGGCCTGCACACACGACACACATTCCTTTGTTAGCAAATACATGTACTCACAGTAAAAGCTGTGCTGCCAAAATGTCCACATTTCTAGTTAGAAATATGATTAATAACATTAATTAGTATGCAAAAATGTTGGAGTTTTTAACCATAATACAAAATTACTATGGTATGGTATTGGTATGTACTTTATTTGAGCAGGGACAGTGAACAATTAAAAATTAACACAAAGCAGAGACGTATTGTACCAGGAAACCAGCGGCACAACGTGGAATAAGTGTCCCATCGGTGTGCACTGCTCAACGGGACGAGGCAGAGCCAGACTTACCTCAGGACCCTTCCAGTTTCCAAACAATTGCGTGATGAGAAGAGCCAGCACGCACAAGGCCACAGTCATGTTATACAGAAGCTTCTGTGTTATGCCGTGATTATAAAGTTGGGCATATTACTGTGAAAAAGTAATTTGTTATAGTTACTTTTTGGGAGAAGTAACTGAGTTACTAACTGAGTTACCCCACTATAAAAGTAAATAAATACCAGTAAAAGTACCTATGCACATTTTTACCTTTAACCTCAGTGAGTTTAAAATAGTGCCAATATTTCCATCTAGAAAAGTCTGTTTTGCCGCTGAAGTCCTCTCTGTGCTGTAAGCACTAAACACCAACACCCGCCACTGTGAATGTGGAAACACCGGTGACGTGCGGTGAGGTTGGTGAAGCACTGACTTCAGCCCAATCAGATGAACATATACATCATAAATCAACAGGACCTACAGAGCGGCTTATTCACAATTTGTTTGGCTACAGCAGAATATGTTTCATGCCCGCATTGTTTGTTCATACAAAACGCAAAAGTATGAAAAAGCACATTTAAAAGTGTATTATGGTCCTTACCTTATACAGTATATGAACTGCACAGACCACTTCGGTTCAGACCAGTTTCATGTTTAAGTCCAGATAATAGTCTGAGCGTAGATACGTAATTCTCCATTTAGAAATAAGTCCAATGAGTTTTAAAAAGTAAAACAAACGGGTGTTTCCTCCATAAACTCCTCTGTTTCGCAGAAGCCGAATCTCGGGTGCATCCAATTTCTAAAATCAACCTTCTTACCCTTCACATCTCTATCTTATCATTCCTATTGTCATTGGAACATTACCCTAAGTGCATTTTAAATTATCTTAAAATGTGTTATATGTATGTTTGCCAAACCTGATGCTGCGCTTAGCAGATTAAGAAAAAGAAAGGAGCTTTCTGATGGAATTGGATGCAGCTGAATTCTGCGCTCTCATGCGCCCCCCTGGGGCTGGCCTCACTTGGTGACATTACAAGCCGTGGTTGAGCGCAATTAAGACTCATATTTGTTTCAATGGGGCGACAGTAGCTCAGTTGGTAGAGCATTGGCCTTAAGGCCAGAAGGTCGTGGGTTCAATTCCCACCTCTGCACCTTCTCCACCAACTCCCACTGATGACTGCTGTCGTTGTGTCCTTGGGCAAGACACTTAACCCCACTTTGCCCAAAGCCCCCACTGAAAGATCAAGGCTATGCTCACACTCAGAGCAGCCGTCCTCCTGTGGACTCACCACCTGCAGAGGGTCAGTGAGGGGCTGGTGCTATGAGACTTGGGTGGCATCTCTGACTGCCACCCCCCTGACCCAGAAATGGATTAAAGGGTAGAAAATGGATGGATGGATGGATTTGTTTCAATAACAATTTATGACCATCCGCTCGGCTGTAGACATGTAGATTGTAAAGGACACATGTTTTACATCAGCCTATAATTGCTGAGAGGTTATTCCATCCTCCCTTCTCTCATGACAACACTCACACGAGTCCTATCATGAAGTTAAAAAAAAAGTTCAGTTTGTGACTTGAGTCGCCAATGATAACGGCGTTACAGTTACAGTCAGGGCTGGACTGGCCCTCGGGCGTACCGGGCAATGCCCTATTTGGACCGGCCTGTCTGCCTCATACAAAAAACATGTTTGTGAAAAGTATAAATCCGTTGAGAATTGTTCGAGGGGCGTTCGTGTCCGCGGGGCCCCTGCTGCATGTACTCCAACGGGATTCCGCCACCTCAGTGGCCGCAGTGTTCCGGAGCAGCCGCGGCCACTTTGTAATGAGCGGTTCCCGCGTCCAGCCGCACACAGCCGCTCACAGTCGCTCCACCGTGTTGGGGCGGCGAGCGCGCGGCCGCAACGTGGCCATGTGCAAAAGACCATAAACGCGCACAGGACCATTCTCTGCTTGTTGCGTGTCTTTGCGCAATCTGTGGACCCAATAAATACACCGCTGCAGGAAACAGTCCACGTCTCCCCTCTGCTCTCGAAGCGCGACTAAACTCCCTAAATTAAAGCTCGGGTACCTAAACTTTCCATTGCATTAAAAGTTCATGTTGGAGCCCAAAAGTAAAATGTTGTGAACAAATTAAACAGATTTAGTGACAGCCAATGGCTGATATTATGCATTTGACTTTTTTGACCAATTCTCATCCCGTAACAAACATAGTGTTGTCTGTGTCTCCCTCACTCTGACACATGTTTATTACTCTCTTTAATGTAGATTATTGCACTTTATTTTATTGTTGAAACTGCAGACATCCTGATCCTCTACAGTATTTGCTTCCATACTCTATAAACAAACTGTAAAAAAAAGTGAAAAAAAAACACGCCTGGGCCGTTTTTTGGTCCCAGTCCAGCCCTGGTTACAGTCAAAGTAATTAGTTAGATTAGTCGTTACTGAAAAAAGTAACGCCGTTATTCCTATCACTGTTTATAAATGAAGAGGGGGCTGGTGCTATGTGACTTACATCACTGACTGCCACCCCCCCGACCCAGAAATGGATTAAGGGGTAGAAAATGGATGGATGGATGGATGGATATAAATGAAGAGCCATTTTCGCCCGGGCCAGAATGAATGACCGAGACCAGGCGGTTTCCTTGAAGTCGCAGCAGAACCTGCCGAGCTGCTGCACCTTGCTGCAGCCATGACACCCGCAGACAAACTCCTTCATTAACAACAGACCTGCAGCACTGGGACATCACCTGCTCTGTTGCCGGCGGATGAGGCTCGGTTTGGCTTTACCAGTCAGAATGTATCGTAACGTCATGAGTTTGAAAACAGAACGTTTATTTAGACAGAAGGGATGGGGGGGAGGTGTTTGTGCCAGAAGTTCAATTAAATCTCTAAATCACAGCAGCAGTGGCCTTGGAGGACTTTACAAAAGAATTGAAATGCAGGAATTGCAATAAACACATAGGAGTCATTGGTCCATAGGGAGCGTGATGACCAATGTCCATAAATGTTAGATTAAAAAGAATAAATATCCCGGATCATCACTGTCCTGGATAGACCCTCTTGTAGTTATGGTGTGAGTGAGTAGACTTGCCTAAACAAATGAGTTTTGAGGTGGATTTGAAGTATGTCAGGAGTCAGTGTAACGGAGGTCAGGGGAGAGAGTGTTCCAGAGCTGGGGAGCAGAGAGCGGCTGAAGGCTCTACTCCCCATGGTGACGAGGAGGAGGGACCAGGAGCTGGAGAGAGGAGGAGGAGCGGAGGGAGGGGGCAGGTGTGGAGCTCTGGAGGAGGTCAGTCAGAAATGGATGGCTGTGTACAAGTATGGCAGTGGTGTGAGGGGAGAGAAGGGCGGAGTCGGCAGATGTTTCTGAGGTGGAAGTGGGCAATAAGGGTGATTCTGTTGATGTGTACGGAGAAGGAGAGAGTGCTGTTGAGGATGACACCCAGACTATTTACCTGAAGAGAGAGGGAAGTAGATGAGCTGTCAATGGGAATGGAAAAGTTGTTGATTTGAGATATGATGATTTTGTTTAATGTGTCGTTGTAAAATAGTCCTGGTCAGAGAAGAGTGGACAGTGTGGGCAGTGAAAGCACCTGTGTCTGTGGATGAGGGCATTGAAGGCCAGTCCATCTCTCCAACATGTGGTGAAGTTCTGGATGCTCACCTCGGGATACCTGTGACACAAAGGGTGTAAAACTGGTACTGCAAAATATTTAAAGAATTATCTGCACTTTTTTACATTTGCATAATTTGCCCTACCACAACCCGAGTGGGTGCATGTGTGCGTGTGCGTCATTGTAAGTACTGACCCGGCTGTCTTCATCTGGCACCAAAGCAGCAGGGCGTCTTTGGCTGAGCGTGTCTCTCTGTTGTCCTCTGTGGCGATTCGAATCACCTGAATCTGAGATACATTGGCAGAAGATGTAACACAGTACAAAAAGTAACATTTTACAGCACACTTTTTGCAAATGATAATTTCAGTATTTTCCACTTGAATTGTGATGACAGTTGCAGACTCTATTGCAATGTGAGGGTAACTAAGGGCAGTCATTTCCCATGTTTCACTGAGCTGCTTCTGCTGCAGTCCTCTGCTTCTGCTGACAGGGCACTAAACGCTCTAAACTACACTGTTCACTGCCTGCATCAGCCACTGCCACGGACCCTGCCCATGGCCCCCACTACCCCTGCCCACGGACCACTGCCCTCACTGCCCCCTACCCTCACTGCCCACTTCCCCTGCCCACGGACCATTGTCCCCACTGCACACAGCCCCCTGCTCACTGCCCATTGGCCACTATCCACTGCCCCATACATGGATCTTTTATAAGACTTCTTGTACAATTATGATAAAACTGAAATCCTCATTACAACTGTTTGCCTTGGTTTTCTGAAGCTCGAGGCAAACTTATCTACTGGCGGTGTGGCAGATGCTCTTGTTAGTATAGTTAGTATACAATTATGTGAATGCTGTGAAAACTCGAGTTGTTTATGCTTATGCAATAAAACATTTCTTCTGCTTTGACACATTCCCAGATTTTTTGTCATAATCTTCACACAGCCCTCCATAGCACTGTGCAGCAGCACGCCATGTGACGGCAGTCAATCACATGCATCGACACATGCTGACCACCTCGCTCGTGTAAGATGTGTAAGAAGAGAAAAGGGGCCACACACCACCAGAGTCTTGTTCACCTATAAATGCTCAATAAGCACATTTTAGGGCTATTTTGTCATATGCATTACTTGCTATTTTGATGAGGACTGAGATTGTGAGGTGGATAATCCACTCTCTTCTTTGAAAGAGATGTGAAGATACAGATTTCACCAGTTGGTAAAATATACCTTAAAAAGGTCCCATATTACATGCTTTAAACATCCTTACAGGGCTATTTGACCTTCATACACATGCCCAGTAGTAGAAGTAGTTTTTTCATTGATTCCCTCAAGCTTTAGTTAAAGAGCAATCTTTCTTTTTCATAATCGAGAGGCAGCGAAACGCCCGGGTCACATCTATGACACTTTCAACATCGATGACGGAGATGACGCGCAGAAGCCTGTCTATGCATTTGTTTTCCAAGATAATAACAATAAATTATAAAATACAGAGGTGATTGACAAATCAGAACAGCGCGCACAGCCTCTCCCGAGTCCAGCGTTTGGTCTATGGCAGGGGTGTAACCGCCTTTCACAGACCAGAGTCACAAAGTGGTTTACAATTGTTATTTTTGGGCACTTGTCTCTCACTCCACACAGAGATGGGAGGGGCCAGTACAGGAGGCACATGCTAGAACTATTGTACATATTTTTAGTGGTAGGGGAAACCGGAGTAACCGGAGGAAACCTACGCAGACACGGGGAGAACATGCAAACTCCACTCAGAAAGGCCCTGTTCCGACCAGGATTCGAACCCAGGACCTTCGTGCTGAGAGGCGAGAGTGATATCTACTCATCATTGTTGTGCCAGTTCACAGCTTTTCTGAACTAGTTCAAAAGTTTTACTTTTTTTGTGAGATATTAAAATAAACACTTTTTTTTCACACTACGAGCTAAAAATCACTATACGTGACATATACTGTATATATATAGTTATATACTGTATACATACAGTGCCTTGTGAAAGTGTTTGGCCCCCTTGAACCTTTCAACATTTCGCCACATTTCAGGCTTCAAACATAAATATATAACATTTTATTTTTTTGTCAAGAATCAACAAGTGGGACACAATCGTGAAGTGGAACAAAATTTATTGGATAATTCAAACTTTTTTAACAAATAAAAAACTGAAAAGTGGGGCGTGCAATATTATTCGGCCCCTTTACTTTCAGTGCAGCAAACTCAGTCCAGAAGTTCAGTGAGGATCTTTGAATGATCCAATGTTGTCCTAAATGACTGATGATGATAAATAGAATGCTCCTGTGTGTAATCAAGTCTCCGTATAAATGCACCTGCTCTTTGATAGTCTCAGGGTTCTGTTTAAAGCGCAGAGAGAACCATGAAGACAAAGGAACACACCAGGCAGGTCCGAGATACTGTTGTGGAGAAGTTTAATGCCGGATTTGGATACAAAAAGATTTCCCAAGCTTTTAACATCTCAAGGAGCACTGTGCAAGCAATTATATTGAAATGGAAGGAGTATCAGACCACTGCAAATCTACCAAGACCCGGCCGTCCCTCCAAACTTTCATCTCAAACAAGGAGAAGACTGATCAGAGATGCAGCCAAGAGGCCCATGATCACTCTGGATGAACTGCAGATAACTACAGCTGAGGTGGGAGAGTCTGTCCATAGGACAACAATCAGTCGTGCACTGCACAAATCTGGCCTTTATGGAAGAGTGGCAAGAAGAAAGCCATTTCTCAAAGATATCCATAAAAAGTCTGGTTTAAAGTTTGCCACAAGCCACCTGGGAGACACACCAAACATGTGGAAGAAGGTGCTCTGGTCAGATGAAACCAAAATGGAACTTTTTGGCCACAATGCAAAACGATATGTTTGGCGTAAAAGCAACACAGCTCATCACCTTGAACACACCATCCCCACTGTCAAACATGGTGGTGGCAGCATCATGCTTTAGGCCTGCTTTTCTTCAGCAGGGACAGGGAAGATGGCTAAAATTGATGGGAAGATGGATGGAGCCAAATACAGGACCATTCTGGAAGAAAACCTGTTGGAGTCTGCAAAAGACCTGAGACTGGGACGGAGATTTATCTTCCAACAGGACAATGATCCAAAACATAAAGCCAAATCTACAATGGAATGGTTCACAAATAGACGTATCCAGGTGTTAGAATGGCCAAGTCAAAGTCCAGACCTGAATCCAATCGAGAATCTGTGGAAAGAGCTGAAGACTGCTGTTCACAAACGCTCTCCATCCAACCTCACTGAGCTCCAGCTGTTTTGCAAGGAAGAATGGGCAAGAATCCCAGTCTCTCGATGTGCAAAACTGATAGAGACATACCCCAAGCGACTTGCAGCTGTAATTGCAGCAAAAGGTGGCGCTACAAAGTATTAGCGCAAGGGGCCGAATAATATTGCACACCCCACTTTTCAGTTTTTATTTGTTAAAAAAGTTTAAATTATCCAATAAATTTTGTTCCACTTCACGATTGTGTCCCACTTGTTGTTGATTCTTGACAAAAAAATTAATTTTTATATCTTTATGTTTGAAGCCTGAAATGTGGCGAAATGTTGAAAGGTTCAAGGGGGCCGAATACTTTCGCAAGACACTGTATATATATCTCCTGTACACCGCACAGGACGAGAGCCTTTTGACTCCAAAACAGGCAAGATTTACATGGTTTCCAATGGGAGCAAAACTGAGTAGTTTCTGCTCATAAGTACAGACAGTAATACGCTGCAGAGTCCAATAACCCATGAAAAGCACTAGCATACAGCGCCGCACCGCAACACAGAGTCAGGGTGCGTTCACAGACGGAGGAAACCGTGGGGATTTTTAGTTTTTGGTGGAAAAAGTGCAGAGAATACAGGAGGGAGGAACTTTCTCTCGTTGCGTTTCAAAAACAGATGTCACTCAGATTTCAATGGAAAACTAATTCCAACGTTCACTTACAGTGATGTCGGCCGTTCATGACACATAATATGAACTAATTCACGTTCAAAATTAAGAAATGTGTTGCGTTCAGTAGTAGTAGTAGTAATCTTTATTTATATACCACCTTTTCACTGCACGTCGGAGTCTCAAAGCGGTTTACAATTGTTATTTTTGGGAGTGGGGCCAGTACAGGAGGCACATGCCAGACCTATTGGACATATTTTTAGTGGTAGGGGAAACCGGAGTACCCGGAGGAAACCTACGCAGACACGGGGAGAACATGCAAACTCCACTCAGAAAGGCCCTGATCCAACCGGGATTCGAACCCAGGACCTTCTTGCTGAGAGGCGAGAGTGCTATCCACTCAGCCACCGTGCCGCCCAGTTCAACGTTCACAAAAAAATGAGCGTGTTCAATGAACGCGTTCTTTTGAACTCGTTCACGCACAACACGCCACTCAGCCACCGTGCCCACACTAAAAGATGCAGTCAGTGATTTTTTTCCATACGCATTTTCTTTTTAAATTATGGGAAAACAACTCTAAACCCTAAAAAGCAGTTAAGGTATCATGTGTTTTCAAATGGTATTGGAATTGACCAGATGCCTAGTCTCCAAAAACTAACAACAAATATTTTGAAGCGGACCGATAAAAACAAACCAATGGGATTCGTTCATTCCCTTCACCCTCTTCCTGTTTGCACACCTGAGTTATCAGATTTTCTAAAACTTAAAATGGCTGAACAGAAAATGCCTATTTCACGTTTGCTTCACTCTCCCTGTTGTGACAAAGAAAACGCTGGATGTTTGGTTTGGTGGAGATTGAACCAAGATCTACTTTTTCAAACATTAAACCGTGATCTACCTCGGATTTACAGTATGTGGGTGTTATGATTCAGAATATTACATTTGGTTTGATTCTTGATGTATTTTATTTGTGATTCATGATCAACAGACGACCATGTTGTCTTTATGCAAAGTTTGCTTAAAAGTTATTAGTTTCAGTTATCAGTATTGTAGTGGTGCAAAGTACACATCCATCTGCCACAAAATGCACAGTATGTTTCTCGTATTGTAAATGTCACATATAATTTCTTATTGCTCATATTATTTGTCAGAATCTTGTTTACTTTGACTGTATACATGCTTGTGGGTGCTTTCTTTTCTTTCTTTCAAGGAAGCGCCATCAGAATGTATTTAGTAGCAGTCACATTTGTACAGGCTGGGGCGGGTCGGCCTGTGCGTAAAGGGTGCAGAGGATGAAAACTGCTCGAGCACACAGGCGGGCTCAATGGAGAAGGGCTCAGTTGGCGCCCTATTCCTTGCGTGTGTGTGGCGTTATTCTCTGTGTGCAAGAGGCGAATAGTGGGCAACTGACTATCTGTTTTACTGTCTTCATACTTGCTGGAGCAATGAAACGTGTCTAATTGCATACATGACACGTACAGTATGAACTCTGCAAGTTATGCGAGCTACCCACCCAACCTTTACGTTCGACCGGTAGATCGCGATCGACGCATTGAGCACCCCTGACCTATGGTACGATCCCCCTCCACCACATGGAGCTGTACTGTTTTTCTGCTTTTGTCAGTGACTAAAAGTGTTAAGATCACGTCAACTTGGAGAAAATGTGTTTTTAGTGTAAATAACTCTTTGGCCTGTTATAGAAATCTAACTGGGATTATAAATCAATTTAACTTAAGAATGAATCCAATGATGAAATGGGATATCTGGGACAAAGTTCAAAGCTAGTCAATCTGTTCAAACTAACTAAACTGTTTTTCTGTAGGGACGCGAGGCCAGTGACGGGGTGGAAGCAGATACTAGTTTGATATCAGGGGCAGAAGAGCGGGCTCACCGGTCAGACTGACCATTCTTCCTAATATCAGAGTAAGACGTCAGAAGAGAGGGGGGTTTGGGCGACGGGTACCACTTAATCTGGGACTCTGAGACGCCATAGACTCTTCTGTTTGTTCCATCCTATAAATGTGAGAGAGAATGAGCAGTATTCAGCAGATCTATCCGGGACCTGCCACGCGGTTACACGGTTGTGTTTCCTGTATCTGTCACATTTACTGAGATAATAAACCACACTTTGATTTGTATTACAGCTCTTCTTGTTTATTTTATATTTAATATTGTGTATTTCACTCCTTAGAAATTCCACAACAGGCCCAAAGACAAAGAATTTTTTCACAGGGATCTGCCTCTGAAATCTGCATCTGCCACACTTCACTAAGACTGTTCCAGAACTACAGTTACCATGAAACTGGACTTACTCATCTGGAAACCAGTTTTAAGACGTTTACGAGGACAGTGCAGTGCTACTAACTCGCCGTATATTTCTATTAACTAAATAATAAGATAAGATATGCTTTATTTATCTCACAAAGGAGAAATAACATGTCACATTTGGCATGGACAGAGACACTCAGACTGTGCAAAAAGGGAGGAAATGTTCAAACATGTTAAATGCAGGATATATGTACAATAAAAAAAGTGGCAATTTAAGTGGCAATCAGAAATAGTGTCAATAGTAGTGCAGGTCTTATCAGTCATATACAGTGACTTAAAGTGACTTATTGTACAGTCTGACAGCGGTGGGGATAAAGGCCCTGCTCCTTCTTACTCTGAAGGAGCTCCTCAGCTCCTCTACAGTCCTGTGCAGTGGGAGGTGTTGTTCACGATGGAGGTGGCTTTGACTAGCACCTCCTGTCCCTCACCTCCTCCACAGAGTCCAGGGGCCTCCTGTCCCTCACCTCCTCCACAGAGTCCAGGGGCCTCCTGTCCCTCACCTCCTCCACAGAGTCCAGGGGCCTCCTGTCCCTCACCTCCTCCACAGAGTCCAGGGGCCTCCTGTCCCTCACCTCCTCCACAGAGTCCAGGGGCCTCCTGTCCCTCACCTCCTCCACAGAGTCCAGGGGCCTCCTGTCCCTCACCTCCTCCACAGAGTCCAGGGGCCTCCTGTCCCTCACCTCCTCCACAGAGTCCAGGGGCCTCCTGTCCCTCACCTCCTCCACAGAGTCCAGGGGCCTCCTGTCCCTCACCTCCTCTACAGAGTCCAGGGGCCTCCTGTCCCTCACCATCTGTCAGAGGTGGGGGCTGGGGATGCGGGGGCAGGAGGGCCCGGTGCAGCCGGAGGCAGTGTCCACTGGGCGGTGTCCACTGGGCTGGGGACGTGTGAAGAGGTGGGGGCGGGAGGGGGGGCAGATGGAGAGGGGGGAGAATCAAACCGGTTGAAGTGCTGGTTAAATTCATCCGCCCGGTGCTGGTCTCCATCTGCTGTTCCTCTGGTACTCTGTCCAAAGCCGGAGATGTTCTTTAGGCCTCTCCACACGTCGCGGGCGTTTCCCTGGGCCAGCTTTTTTTTTTTATTAGGGTCTGATTCAGGATCGCGGACATAGGGCGTGATGTGTTGGATTGCCATTGTTGGAAAAAGTTTATTCTCAGGTCTGAAATGACTATGCATCGCGAAGCTGAAGAGTTAATTGCTTTGGAGATAGACAACTTAGTGTGAGGCTACGTCATCGCTCTGGTAGGGGGGAGAAGAGAGGCTATAATCTCACAAGATCTGAGTGTTGTATGTTGTATAACTCAAATTATTATCACACATGTACACAGGATGGACTGTGAAAAAGAAGACGAGCGCAATATGGCACCTTAAAACACCGGAGAAAATCATTGGATCAAAAACTTTTCAAAATTGCACTGCCATCTTGGATATAATTTAGTGAAGTAAGTATTTACGGGTGGGCTTCCAGTTGAAGAGACATTATCTGGAACGCTAACCTGTTAAGTAAGTAAGTAAATGAGTAAGTCTTATTTCTGGGGATTTGGGAATGATTCATTTCCAAATCCCCAGTGTGAGTGAGGTGTGGCTCTGACCTGGAAGCGCAGGATGATGGTCCACATAAGGCCAAGCGTCAGTCTGTGGTTCCCATCCACAATGTCGTGAGATCCCACGTTCTCCAGGTGTACACGCTGCTCTTTGAGAAACTGAAGAGCTTTGTCCACATTCTCCAGACAGTGGATCCGCATGCGTCCACGTGTGGGCCTGGGCTGGATAGAGCGGACACACAGAGGACACAGAGTGGACACAGCAACCTACCGTTACTTACAGACAAATAGAACAGCTTGAGTGTGTGAGGTTTGAGAGCTGATTTATATATTTCCTAGTTGTTGTTGTTATAGAAATATTTTAGTTAAACAATCTGAATTAACACCAAATAGTTCTGAGTGTAAATTATTGACTAACAGTGAACTCTGGATTCAGATACAGGCCATAGTGCTCTGTTGGCTCAGGTCAGTGATAGATGGAGATTCAGATACAGGCCATAGTGCTCTGTTGGCTCAGGTCAGTGATAGATGGAGACGTGCTGCATCATGTCTTTGACCTGGGTCATAGAACAATATGTTCAGTTCAAAAGCAGATTGTTACATATATCAGAGTTGTATCAGCGTTAGGAGGCGTAAAGAGAAGCCTTGAGCAACACATATCAATGTTGACTTCATCTCTGTAATATCTAGAGTAGATATGTGTTTGTTTACTCTGGTCTATTTAATGTACAGTCATTTCCTCAATCGTGGCAGTCGATTTCGGACGGCTGCCCGGTGGTATTGGTATCGGTTCTGTTATTCATTGTAATTGTGCACATTTACTAATGAATAAACTCACACTTTGTTTGGAATTACAGCTCTGAGTTGAATGACTTTTGTGCTGTATTTAGATCCTTACTTCAGAGACATTTTATCATTTGCAATTAAATTCAAGGGACTGTGGGCTTGGGTCCCCAAGGAGACTGCTTAGTCTGTCTGCGTAATGGGTAGGGCCAGCATTGTTCGATGGTTTCACAACGAATTGTGTATCAGATCATATGGCCCTGACCTGTGTAGTGCCACAGGGGTCGATCCTGTTCAATCTCTGCACTCTGCTGTTAGGTCAGTAATACGCAGTAACAACAATGGACTCACTCCTTCACTGTATCCAACAGATCAGTGAGTGGACATCTAAACTCAGGTCAGAAATCTATATGATAATGACTCAGACTTCAATTTAATAGTAACATCAGCGGCTTTTTACCATCGGAAAAACATTGCATTGCAATCAGATTGAAGATTATTATGCATTTGTCTCGGTTGGATTACTGTAAAGGCCTGCCCACTGGGCTCACCAAACGAGCTGCAAAACAGCTGCAGTACATTTAAAAAATCTGCAGCTCGAGTCGCGACTAGAACCAGGAAGTACAACCACATTAGTCTAATTAAGGTCTCTGCACTGGCTTCCTGTGACTTTAAAGCAGCTCTGCCTGTGTTCAAGTCTCTCCATGGCCTCGCACTAGTACCATATGAACTAGGGCCGGGCAATATGGCTAAAAAAAAATCTCAGATTTTTTCACACCAAATCCAATTTTGGATTTTAATCGATTATTTTTTTCTATTTAAAAACAAACTACAACTGACAAAGAAATAGATTTTCCTTTATGCAGTTTAATCTAAATTTCCCCTTGGAGCATAAGTGTAAAGGTGCTTTCAGACCAAAATCCTCAAAAAGCTTTGGACGCGTTGTTTGACGCTGGGTCCGGTTTGAACGCCTTGGTGCTTGAATCTCCTGACGCGCCTGACGCCGGTGGGAGGAGCTTCTCTGTTGCCGGTCGTCACGACAACGGTGGATTTCCAGAGAGCTGCAAGCCTTTATTTGTTATATAAAGTCAAATAACGTTGTTGTGGGGTTTCTACAAAACATGTTCTGGGTTCACCACAGACTGAGGCTGCAGTGTTTGCAGAGTTTCATCATTTACTCCAGGAGCTGCGTACGGAGGAGTTTTACTTTCAGCGGTACTTCCCCAAAATAAAATAAATATTACTTACACTCACCCAGTTTGAGTACCCACTCCCCGGAGCTCGCCTCTCCCCCGCCTGGAGCTCGCCTCTCCCCCGCCTGAAGCTCGCCTCTCCCCCGCCTGGAGCTCGCCTCTCCCCCGCCTGGAGCTCGCCTGGAGCTCGCCTCTCCCCCGCCTGGAGCTCGCCTGGAGCTCGCCTCTCCCCCGCCTGGAGCTCGCCTCTCCCCGCCTGGAGCTCGCCTCTCCCCGCCTGGAGCTCGCCTCTCCCCGCCTGGAGCTCGCCTCTCCCCCGCCTGGAGCTCGCCTGGAGCTCGCCTCTCCCCCGCCTGGAGCTCGCCTGAAGCTCGCCTCTCCCCCCGCCTGGAGCTCGCCTGAAGCTCGCCTCTCCCCCGCCTGGAGCTCGCCTGGAGCTCGCCTCTCCCCCGCCTGGAGCTCGCCTGGAGCTCGCCTCTCCCCCGTCTGGAGCTCGCCTCTCCCCCGCCTGGAGCTCGCCTCTCCCCCGCCTGGAGCTCGCCTCTCCCCCGCCTGGAGCTCGCCTCTCCCCCGCCTGGAGCTCGCCTGGAGCTCGCCTCTCCCCCGCCTGGAGCTCGCCTGGAGCTCGCCTCTCGCCCGCCTGGAGCTCGCCTGGAGCTCGCCTCTCGCCCGCCTGGAGCTCGCCTGGAGCTCGCCTCTCGCCCGCCTGGAGCCCGCCTGGAGCTCGCCTGGAGCCCGCCTGAAGCTCGCCTCCCCCCCGCCTGGAGCTCGCCTCCCCCCCGCCTGGAGCTCGCCTCCCCCCCGCCTGGAGCTCGCCTCCCCCCCCGCCTGGAGCTCGCCTCTCCCCCGCCTGGAGCTCGCCTGGAGCTCGCCTCTCCCCCGCCTGGAGCTCGCCTGGAGCTCGCCTCTCCCCCGCCTGGAGCTCGCCTGAAGCTCGCCTCTCCCCCGCCTGGAGCTCGCCTGGAGCTCGCCTCTCCCCCGCCTGGAGCTCGCCTCTCCCCGCCTGGAGCTCGCCTCTCCCCCGCCTGGAGCTCGCCTCTCCCCCGCCTGGAGCTCGCCTGAAGCTCGCCTCTCCCCCGCCTGGAGCTCGCCTGGAGCTCGCCTCTCCCCCGCCTGGAGCTCGCCTCTCCCCGCCTGGAGCTCGCCTCTCCCCGCCTGGAGCTCGCCTCCCCCCCGCCTGGAGCTCGCCTCTCCCCCGCCTCTCCCCCGCCTGGAGCTCGCCTGGAGCTCGCCTCTCCCCCGCCTGGAGCTCGCCTGGAGCTCGCCTCTCCCCCGCCTGGAGCTCGCCTCTCCCCCGCCTGGAGCTCGCCTGGAGCTCGCCTCTCCCCCGCCTGGAGCTCGCCTGGAGCTCGCCTCTCCCCCGCCTGGAGCTCGCCTCTCGCTCGCCTCTCCCCCGCCTGGAGCTCGCCTCTCGCCCGCCTCTCCCCCGCCTGGAGCTCGCCTCTCGCCCGCCTGGATCTCGCCTGGAGCTCGCCTCTCGCCCGCCTGGAGGTCGCCTCTCGCCCGCCTGGAGCCCGCCTGGAGCTCGCCTCTCCCCCGCCTGGAGCTCGCCTCCCCCCCGCCTGGAGCTCGGCTCCCCCCCGCCTGGAGCTCGGCTCTCCCCCCCGCCTGGAGCTCGCTCCCCCCCCGCCTGGAGCTCGCCTCTCCCCCGCCTGGAGCTCGCCTCTCCCCCGCCTGGAGCTCGCCTCCCCCCCGCCTGGAGCTCGCCTCCCCCCCGCCTGGAGCTCGCCTCTCCCCCGCCTGGAGCTCGCCTCTCCCCCGCCTGGAGCTCGCCTCCCCCCCGCCTGGAGCTCGCCTCCCCCCCGCCTGGAGCTCGCCTCTCCCCCGCCTGGAGCTCGCCTCTCCCCCGCCTGGAGCTCGCCTCTCCCCCGCCTGGAGCTCGCCTCCCCCCCGCCTGGAGCTCGCCTCTCCCCCGCCTGGAGCTCGCCTCCCCCCCGCCTGGAGCTCGCCTCCCCCCCGCCTGGAGCTCGCCTCTCCCCCGCCTGGAGTTAGCCTCGCTCTCGCTCTGAGCCAGACTCATCGTGAGCTTGTTTTTATATTAAATAAATAACTTCACAGCATGTGTACATTGATTTTGTTACTTACTTATTATTTGTAACTTACTTATTATTATAGTAACGTTCTTAATATTACTAATAACAATATTGATAATAAAACAGCAGCAGCTACATGACTTCCCTCCAAGACTGCTGCTGCTCGTCTCTTGATTGGTTGAAGCCGTCAAGCTCCAAAAGCTCGGGGGCGCTGCTGAGCACCTATGGAGTAGGTTGTGCTTTTGTAGCTCCTCCGGAATGTTAATTTAATTTGATATTTTGCATCACTTTTTTTTTCTCTGGAGTTCCAGTCTGATTACCAGTGTTTATGTACGCGCATGTCGGGACGAATTAACGTGTTTTCAGCCCTAATAATGAGGAAAACTGACATCGGAGTGACCACACGCAGCACTAATCACTGCTTGCTAGCATGAGAGAAATGATGGAAGAAATGCGCGGAGACATTATGAATGGACTCGGGGACATCATTTCTGACGTGGTGAAAAAAGAGATCACGGGAGCTCTGTCACCATTGGAGGCAAGGATTGCATCATTTTCGAGTGCTGTCCGTGATTTGGAGCAAGCGGCTAATGAGCAGGACGGGAGGCTAACAGTTGTGCAGGCCTCGGTTAGCAGAGGCCTGCACAGGATCAAGTTGCCTCTTTGACCAGAAAGTGTGAGGACTTGGAGGGTCGCTCAAGACTCAACAACATACGAATCGTTGGAATTCCGGAGAATTCAGAGGGCCCTCGCCCCACTGAGTTCGTGGCTGGCTTACTACATGACTTGTTGCGCCTGGATGCTAAACCTGTTTTGGACCGCGCTCATCGCACCCTACGACCCAGACCAGGGGAGGGAGCGCCTCCATGGCCTTTCGTTGTTCGTGTGAACATGTACCAAGTGCGGAACGAAATCCTGCGTAAGGCCCGTGAGTCTCCTCTTCATTTCAACGGGAGGCGAGTGCTTATTTTCCCCGACTATACTACGGCAGTAGCGAAGAAAAGAGCTACATTTGGCAGAGTTAAGAAGGAACTACATTCATGCCCTGGAGTGAAGTTTGGACTGCTCTTTCCAGCAACGCTTCAGATCACGCTGCCTAGTGGGACAAGTCACAAGTTTGAAGACCCTGATGCAGCCTTGGATTTCGTGGAGAAGAATATTAAAAGTGTGGTCGCCCCAGACTCTGATGCGTGGCGTAATCAGGTGGTATACACTGGACTGGTGTTCTCTGAGGTAGTTTACTCATTCTATTGTTCTACATAGGGGTGGGCGATATGGCCTAAAATTCATATCGCGGTATAATTTGGGTCATAGACGGTAGACGGTATATATCGCGGTATAATTTGGTGTGTGAATTTCAATATAGGTCTAGCAGGTTCTTGCATAAAATAGTCAAGATTGTTAATTATTTATATATTAGAATCTAATATATATATTTTTTGAGTTAGAAAATCAGTTGTGAGACGAATAAAGAGACAAATAACATACATTATTTATGTATGTTACAGTAAATACCATTCACTGTAAAAGCAATTTTTAAAAAGAAAAACATATGCATTCATTTAAAATATAAAAAACTCACAAATGTTGAAATCAAAGTCTGTAGGAGTTAGACATGGTCATTAGTTATAGTGTCTGAGAGTTTTGTGCAGGTACATGACTTCAGTAAAAGCTGTTCGTTTACAAAGCTGGTCTTGCCATTTGTTGACGCTCCCTAAGTGCTTTTCTCTGCGCTGGATGATTCAATGGATTTTATGTTCATTAAAACAGGGCATTGGATTTGAACAATTGATGTAAATGGTCATTTTGGCACAAATAATTTTGTTCAACAAAGTAGCTTTCGTGAGATATTGACCGCGGAGGTCTGAATCTGACGCTAACTTTCCCAAACTTCTGCTGTGATGCTGTGGACACGGCACACGCATGGATCTATTTTGGCTCACGCTGGCGCTTCGAGCCTACGCCGCTTTGACACTGATTGGCCAAAAGGTAGACTCTTAAACTGTGATTACTGTGTGTGTATTTACCTCTGCTGAGGCCGCTGTGACAACAATACATAGACAGAAACACTGTGTTAATGCCGTGCTGTTGTTCGCTGTTTCCAGTGGTGTCCAATAGTGCTAGGCTAATGTGCTAGGCTAATGTGCTAGGCTAATGTGCTAGGCTAATGCTAGGCTAATGTGCTAGGCTAATGCTGCTGAATGCCGGTTTGTTTTGGTCCTTTCTGCTGGCGTCAGAGCCTGCGCAATTTAAAATAATCCACAAACCAATCATCTCCCCCACTCAGTCAGTTTGTCAGCATCAGAAACCCCACATCTTTACAGCGGGTGACCAGAGGAGCAGCTCCAGGAGACTGCATAGTTCCATTTAGGAAAAGTGCCTTTAGTCAGAACACCTTTTCTGTAACTGCAGCCAAAGACTGGAACTCCATCCCAGCTAACATAAGAGATCTGTCCACTTACATACTGTTTAAAAAACATTTAAAGAACTGGTTCATTACTCAACAGTCTTGCAGTCATTAACCCCTGTCTGTATTATGACTCTTTTATTGTTTGCACTGTTTGTATTTGTATTTAACCTGTATAGTGTAGTGACTGTGTCCTACTTTGTATTCTATTGCACTGACCGTAATGTTTTATTGTTTTATTGTCTTAGGGAGACTTTTTACATCTGTCCAGGGACTACGGATGAAAAATAGCCTTTTGGCTAATTCCGGTGCATTTACAGAAATGTTGATTAATGTACACTGTCCCTGTCAAATAAATAAATAAATTAAATTAAATTAATTAAAATTTCAAGCCATATATTATTAGAGCTATGTAATGAAATAAAAGCTGTTCCATGCTCTCTGTTTGGTTCTGTCACTGTTTCCACATGCATGTATTGTAGACCACCCTCAGTCAGCCAATCGGCTCTCAGACCGTCACACAGAGATTCACAACACTGTGCCACAGTTACATACTGTATGTGAATTATTCAATAAAGTATCCATCCATCTATCTATCTATGTTAGGTGTGCAAACTCACATGGTCGATGAGCTCGCGCACCATGCCATTCCACTCGCCCTTGTCGTTCTGAGCTCCGTACTTCCCGTCTGACACCAGTTTGACCTCGTAGGAGAAGCCCAGGATGTTGGACAGTTCTTTGAGCAGGTCCAAGCAGTAGCCCTCGAAGCGGTCATTTCCATACAGAGGCTTGTCCGACTTCTTATACATCACGTAAGGGTTTTCCTACAGGCCGGAAAAAGTAAGGAGTGAGGGGATGAAAACAACCATGTGTTTATCTAACAAAGTGAACCTCTTTGCTTCCGCTTCATTTATCTTTTCAATATTGTTCATATCAAATACTTGGAATTTAAAGTTAAATTTTAATAAAACTAAATTAGAATAAGATTACCATCTGTTGGCGCTACATTGGGCGCTACACAGCCACATGTAGCCGGGTTTCTGCTAAACCGCAGATGCTTGTCTTTGTTTGCACCTGTCATCACCATGACAACGCATCAAAACAAATATATAAAAAAACTCCGGGCAAAGTGGAGATTTTTGAAAACTCTGTTCATGCATTTGTGTGTAGACAGAGATAACCGATAAACTCAAAGAGTTTTGAGTTTTCGCACGTCACAGTCTGCCCCAAAACAACAACAAACAAAACGTGCGACCTTTGACCTCTGAAGAAGGATCTCACTGCCTTAAAAACTGTTCACAGCAGAGAGCAGCAAAGTGATCACAGGGACTCATGCTCGAAAACCACCAAAACAGGACCTAAACCAGGATTAAACCAGGACTAAACCAGGACTAAACCAGAACTAAAGCAGGACTAAAGCAGGACTAAACCAGGACTAAAGCAGAACTAAACCAGGATTAAACCAGGACTAAACCAGGACTAAACCAGAACTAAAGCAGAACTAAACCAGGACTAAACCAGGACTAAAGCAGAACTAAACCAGGATTAAACCAGGACTAAACCAGGACTAAAGCAGAACTAAACCAGGATTAAACCAGGACTAAAGCAGAACTAAACCAGGACTAAACCAGGACTAAACCAGGACTAAAGCAGGACTAAACCAGGACTAAAGCAGGACTAAACCAGGACTAAAGCAGGACTAAACCAGGACTAAACCAGGACTAAACCAGAACTAAAGCAGAACTAAACCAGGACTAAACCAGGACTAAAGCAGAACTAAACCAGGACTAAACCAGGACTAAACCAGGACTAAACCAGGACTAAACCAGGACTAAACCAGGACTAACCCAGGACTAACCCAGGACTAAACCAGGACTAAACCAGGACTAAACCAGGACTAAACAGGACTAAACCAGGACTAAAGCAGAACTAAACCAGAACTAAACCAGGACTAAACCGGGAATAAACCAGGACTAAACCAGGACTAAACCAGGACTAAACCAGGACTAAACCAGGACTAAACCAGGACTAAACCAGGACGAAACAGCACTAAACAGGACTAAACCAGGACTAAAGCAGAACTAAACCAGGACTAAACCAGGACTAAACCAGGACGAAACCAGACTAAACAGGACTAAACCAGGACTAAAGCAGAACTAAACCAGGACTAAACCAGGATTAAACCAGGACTAAACCAGGACTAAACCAGGACTAAACCAGGACTAAACCAGAACTAAACCAGGACTAAACCAGGACTAAACCAGGACTAAACCAGGACTAAACCAGGACTAAAGCAGGACTAAACCAGGACTAAACCAGGACTAAACCAGGACTAAAGCAGGACTAAACCAGGACTAAACCAGGACTAAACCAGGACTAAAGCAGGACTAAACCAGGACTAAACCAGGACTAAACCAGGACTAAACCAGGACTAAACCAGGACTAAAGCAGAACTAATCCAGGACTAAACCAGGACTAAACCAGGACTAAACCAGGAATAAACTAGGACTAAACCAGGACTAAACCAGGACTAACCCAGAACTAAACCAGGACTAAACCAGGACTAAACCAGGACTAAACCAGGAATAAACTAGGACTAAACCAGGACTAAACCAGGACTAAACCAGGACTAAAGCAGAACTAAACCAGGACTAAACCAGGACTAAAGCAGAACTAAACCAGGACTAAACCAGGACTAAACCAGGACTAAACCAGGATTAAACCAGGACTAAACCAGGACTAACCCAGGACTAACCCAGGACTAAACCAGGATTAAACCAGGACTAAAGCAGAACTAAACCAGGACTAAAGCAGAACTAAACCAGGACTAAACCAGGACTAAACCAGGACTAAACCAGGACTAAACCAGGACTAAACCAGGATTAAACCAGGACGAAACAGAACTAAACAGGACTAAACCAGGACTAAAGCAGAACTAAACCAGGACTAAACCAGGACTAAACCAGGATTAAACCAGGACGAAACAGGACTAAACAGGACTAAACCAGGACTAAAGCAGAACTAAACCAGGACTAAACCAGGACTAAACCAGGATTAAACCAGGACTAAACCAGGATTAAACCAGGACTAAACAGGACTAAACAGGACTAAACCAGGACTAAAGCAGAACTAAACCAGGACTAAACCAGCAGAACTAAACCAGGACTAAACCAGGACTAAACCAGGACTAAAGCAGAACTAAACCAGGACTAAACCAGGAATAAACTAGGACTTAACCAGGATTAAACCAGGACTAAACCAGGACTAAACAGGACTAAACCAGGGCTGAGGACAGGGGTCAGTGCTTGTAAACATGTCTTCACCATGGATCTATAATAATATGTCTTCACCTGAGTTTCTTCTATGACTGTAAAAGTCACCGCTACAGAAGAACCGGCGTCTGCATCAAAGCTCCGCCCACTTCTGTGTTTTTCCCCGACGCAGGACGTCAGAGACGCACATGTTTGAATGTTATGAATGTGATTAAATGCAGATGTTCGTTATGTGTGGATGCAAAATATTTCATAAACGGAGGGGGGAAAATATTCGGTTTTAAAATTACCCGGCTACGTGTGGACATGGCTCTGTCTCTATGTGGGGAGAAAAGACATTTTTAGACAGCAGATTTTGATGTTGTAATGTCCCTCATGCAGTTGTGCTGAAAGTGTACACACCCAGGCTGAAATGTATACATTTAACCACATTTTTGGAGGTTATGAAATTGTTTTTTATTTTCATGGTTGTATTAGGCAATAATTGTCAAATAAATGTCTATTTTCAACTTCAAATGACGCCCAAAACTTTTCTTCTGACCCTGATCAGAAGTCACTCATAAGTCACTCTGGTCTCTCTCTCTGGTCTCTCTCTGGTCTCTCTCTCTGGTCTCTCTCTGCTCTCTCTCTGCTCTCTCTCTGCTCTCTCTCTGCTCTCTCTCTGCTCTCTCTCTGCTCTCTCTCTGGTCTCTCTCTGGTCTCTCTCTGGTCTCTCTCTGGCCTCTCTCTGGTCTCTCTCTGGTCTCTCTCTGGTCTCTCTCTGGTCTCTCTCTGCTCTCTCTCTGGTCTCTCTCTCTGGTCTCTCTCTCTGGTCTCTCTCTGGTCTCTCTCTGGTCTCTCTCTGGTCTCTCTCTGGTCTCTCTCTGCTCTCTCTCTGCTCTCTCTCTGGTCTCTCTCTGCTCTCTCTCTGCTCTCTCTCTGGTCTCTCTCTGGTCTCTCTCTGGCCTCTCTCTGGTCTCTCTCTGGTCTCTCTCTGGTCTCTCTCTGGTCTCTCTCTCTGGTCTCTCTCTGCTCTCTCTCTGCTCTCTCTCTGGTCTCTCTCTGGTCTCTCTCTGGTCTCTCTCTGGTCTCTCTCTGGCCTCTCTCTGGTCTCTCTCTGGTCTCTCTCTGGTCTCTCTCTGGTCTCTCTCTGGTCTCTCTCTGCTCTCTCTCTGCTCTCTCTCTGGTCTCTCTCTGGTCTCTCTCTGGTCTCTCTCTGGTCTCTCTCTGGTCTCTCTCTCTGGTCTCTCTCTCTGGTCTCTCTCTCTGCTCTCTCTCTGCTCTTTCTCTGCTCTCTCTCTGGTCTCTCTCTGGTCTCTCTCTGGTCTCTCTCTGGTCTCTCTCTGGCCTCTCTCTGGTCTCTCTCTGCTCTCTCTCTGCTCTCTCTCTGGTCTCTCTCTGGTCTCTCTCTGGTCTCTCTCTGGTCTCTCTCTGGTCTCTCTCTGGTCTCTCTCTGGTCTCTCTCTGGTCTCTCTCTGGTCTCTCTCTGGTCTCTCTCTGGTCTCTCTCTCTGGTCTCTCTCTCTGGTCTCTCTCTGGTCTCTCTCTGTGTGTGTGTGTAAACTTCAAGCACTCCTGTAAATCTCTGGAATTTGAGTCATAATAAAACATGTGGAATTGTCCTGTTTCCAGGTCAAAGCTTGGACAACAGGTAAAAAACATAACAGTGCTTGTTGGTACCAGAATAGTGGTCACGATGAGCGTTCGGTTGGCCATAGAGTCCGTCACGTTGGTAGAAGTGTCCTTGTTGGTCTCTGTTAAGTTAAGGCCAGAGTTGGAATTCCAAACTCCAATCTGGGACACAAGCACAAAATAGCTGTCAGTTATATTTACAATGTACATTTGAAAGCTGCCATTATACTAGAATAAGTGTAAGGAAACAATAGTCGCACTTGCCAACTTTATATATTTTTATCTATCTATTGTCCATCCACCTGTTTATTTTCTATATGTGGTACATTTATTTTGCGTGAATCGGACTTAAAGCGGGGATACCCAGCATATCATTTACAAAACACTTTCTGTATTCACTCAGATCAATACTAGAGTTTTCAGAAAGAGAGTGTGAAGGCCTCTCTTTTTCCCTTCTCTGTTTCAAAAAGATCTTTGCATCTAAAGTTGCAAAGTCAAAAATACATGCTTGTAAATGATAGAAGCAAACTGAGAGTGAGGAACTAGATGTGGATTTTATTACAGAATTCCATTATTTGTAGTTTCAAAGTTAAGTTTCCCAACGGTTTAAAAGGTTTGTGGTTGAATAGGCCGGCGTTACCATGATTGGTGAGATAAACAGTGTGACACAACGGCTCAAGGGGATTGAGGGAGAGCAAACAGGGTTGAGGAGTAAGCGGTGGGTGGGGGGTGGAGGCCACGTCACGGCAAGTCCATTTTCACAAAACTCAATACAAACCTTCTTCCACACTTTGTTGAGACGATTGGTGCCTGGGTTCGGCTTGTGGAGACAACAAGGACAAAGTATTTAACACACAGAGGACTGTCATTAACTGTAGGAAAAAGAGAGCAGGCCCGAGGCTAGACCAGAGACAAGGCCAGCATGAGCCCAGACTGAGCCCAGACTGAGCCCAGACTGAGCCCAGACTGAGCCCAGACTGAGCCCAGACTGAGCCCAGACCGAGCCCAGCATGAGCCCAGACTGAGCCCAGACTGAGCCCAGACTGAGCCCAGACTGAGCCCAGACTGAGCCCAGACTGAGCCCAGACTGAGCCCAGACTGAGCCCAGACTGAGCCCAGACCGAGCCCAGCATGAGCCCAGACCGAGCCCAGACCGAGCCCAGACCGAGCCCAGACTGAGCCCAGACTGAGCCCAGACTGACGCCCAGACTGACGCCCAATAGGAAAGAGAGTGATGCACTCAGCACAGAGCAAGGTGCAGGGTCACTGAGTATTTGGGCCTGTGTAAATGTCTTGTCTTTTACCATCAACGGTAGTGTATTTTATTGCATGTAATTTAGCATCATTGTTGAAATGTACTGCACGGTATCGTTCTTGTTCTCTTATTGTATTATGAGTGTGTCTTGTGTTTGAACGTGTGAGAGGCAATTCAGATAGTTTCGTGGGGTCAGCGGCTCACCTTCCCCAGGCCGTCCTCCTTCAGGCTGATCACGTCCAGGTCAAACTCCTTCCGCAGTCCATCTGTTTTGTTTATGACGATCTGTCCAGTCAAGCCATCCCACTGTGCCTGTGCCGGCGGAGGGGGGGGCCAAAAACACACACATACACACACACATACACACAGACAGACAGACAGACAGACACAACCACATACACGCACACACACACACATACACACAGACAGACAGACACAACCACATACACGCACACACACACACTAATGATCAGTGACTAAGTGCATCCTGATGGGGTCTTATGCAAAGGCCTGGAAGAAATAACAACTCGGGCGTTATGTGATGAAAGAGGATCTGACTTAAGAAGGGAACTATCCCTGTAGAGTCATGTCATAGGAGTAAACCGTCCTCACAGTATATCCTTATAGCATCATCTCAAATCTGGCCTGGCGTTTTTTTAATCTAATATATCAAACTTCTGTCACAAACCCCACCATAGTCTATAGCGCAGTGGGCAATCCCTGTAGTAATTTCCTTTTGTCTTGACAAAATAAAACAATAATTTTGTACAGTTTGTGACATAGTCTGTGAAAGGCACTATATAATTACAGACTACTTACTTAATTTATTTTTTAAATTACTTCTAGCAGTATCACAAGCGGGAATCTGAAGCCACATTTCAGGGAATCAAGCCTAGAAACCAAGGAGCCAATCAGGATCTGCGTCAGTCTAGTCCCCTCTCACCTGATTGGTCAGTTGGGGTCAACTCTGCATAGGGGTCATACCTGCATTTACAGTATACTGACAGTATACTGACATATACTGACAGTATACTGACATATACTGTCAGTATATGTCAGTATACTGACATATACTGACAGTATATGTCAGTATACTGACATATACTGTCAGTATACTGACATATACTGACAGTACTTTCAAAGTATAAACACCAGGCCCAAACCGATCGTTAAACCACAAATCTTTAAGCCAGAGAATGTGACTGTGACAAACACAGAGGTGAGTAGTATATGTACCAAAAAAAGAGTATTTGATTATTTACTTTTCTCCTGTATGAATGACACAACAGCCGCTGTAGCAGAGAGCAGCGATTAGATGCATGGCCTTATGTCATGTGAATGTGAGACCAGATTATGTCAGACTGTAATTCTCTTTAAATCCTCCTCACAATCCAAAGCAATGTGGTCTCACTGGTCTCACACTGATCCCAAAATGACAACTGGATCCAGCACCATTTCCACCATTGACAATTTCACTATCACAACCACCCATGTGTGCTTGAGAGGTCTTTCTTTCAAGCTGCTGTCAGACTGTACAACAAACACTGCTGACCCTGTACATGCATTCACTTGAAGTGTTAATGTGTGCAGTGCTGAAGTAGAAATGTAGAAATGTTCATAGCATGACTGTTCATTCCAATATTTGCCATGTAGCACAGACTGTATATAGATGGACAATGCTCAATAAAGCTCAATAGGGAAGTGCTCATGGACAAAGTTTGGAGCCAACTCGCTCTGACTGTCTCTGAAAATAAACTGAAGCGTGAGAGCAGAAATGCTATTGTTTGAGGCTGCTATTCTGCAAAGGGAATATGACAACTGATCTATTAAGGGAATTATGTATTGTGTGTATCATCAGTGACTGCATTGACACTGAAACATGGCTGGTTCTTCCATCAGACAATTATGCCAAAGTGGTGTAGCCAGTCTACAGACCTTAACCCATTAGGAGGTCTGTGTTGCCCATGGAAGAATGGGCCAAAACACCAGCAACAGTGTTATAAACAGATATATGACGAACATTTAGGACCCCTCGCCTTTTTCTTAAGTGGGACAACTTGCATATTCTGTAACTGCCAAATACTTTTTACTCTACTGCAGTGTGTCCCAAAGTGGGGTCTGCAGGAGGGTACTGCAGGGGGGCCGCAAGAGGTCATAAAAAAAAAAATGTTTTATATTATTATTGTATGTTAAATTAATTTTGTTTGTAATATTAACATATTTGTGTTCATTATTTGACCTGAATAATCAAATTGTGATCATTTGTGTTTTACAAAATGCGGTGCGTCATTTACATGTTTGTAGCAGAGGCTTTTTCTCCCAAATAAAATAACGAGAAGAGCCTATTTTTACTGTTGTCTTCTTGGTTATTATTTCGTGTTACTGACTTTGGGAATGGCTGCCCTACTGCATATGGACAGGGCCTGTTTTGAGTCCCTCCAGTGCACTGCATATGGGCAGGGTCTGTTTGTTCATGGCGACTTGTGAAGCACTCACATCTTTGAGCATGTTCATGAAGCGTCCCCCGAAGCGCCAGGGCTTGTGCCGGTGACACTGCAGAGAACTGACGGTGATCTGCGAGGCACGCTGAGACGCAGAGGCCACCATGTACACCGCGTCATACATGAGGGCAGCTTCAGTCTGGGGAGCAAGGAGAGGAGTCAGGCAGAGGGTTACACAGAAAAATACAAGATATATTATACATTTGTAATCAATACCAAATACTATTATCAGTATCATTATTTCATTTACACACAGAAAATGATCTTGTTTCAAGTCACAGAAATACGTTTAGAAATACCATCCACAATAATGCATCGAAATGATGTCACAAACCCCACCATAGTCTGTGACCTGCAGTAGGCAATCCCATGCTTGGAAATATCAGCTTAAGCCTCTTACCAACCCACTAATATATTGACAATAGCATGTTAAACCTCATTATAAAGCTACATTTATCATTGAAACAACCACATTTATTTCACTCTAAACAATAAACCAAGACACAAATAATTAAAATACCAGTCGACAAAACTGAGACTTCCAGTTTTTGGTTCAGGATCTAAGCCAAACTGTACTAATTTAGTTCAGAAAAATAAAAAACACTATTTGCAAATACAACGTCAATAGTGAGTGCGATTCAACCTCCAGATTCAACCTCCAGACAGGATCTTTCTGTAGGGAGTTTGATGTCTGTGTTGATTTCCTCTGGGTGCTCCGGTTTCCACCACCATTAAAAACATGTACAACAATTCAGTGTGAATGAGTGTGTGTTCATTGGTACCATCGACTGTAAATATTAACGGACATGGTCACGCCGATCTCCGTTGAAACGAATGTGCCATCACTTTTGGCTTCTATGGGGCTTTTTCAAAATGGCTGCGGGCATCCTCTCCCGCAGGAAAATGTGAAAAAACACATTTGCGCATGCGTTAGCCAGCCCCAGCCCCATTCATTTGACGAGTGCCTTCTGAAGTCCACAGCGGCTAAACTACAGCGATCCAAAAAATATTCTCCCCTCAGCATCGACACACACATGGTACGACGCTTTGGGCCAAGAGCAGACTTTTGGACCATCCTGTTAAGCCGTTTTTGAGAGGAAAGAAGACACCGTACATGCTCGTGGACGTGTTTGAGCTGGACCCGCCCCCACTGACTGTCTCAACAAATAAAAGAAAAAAGTAATTACAGAAAACATAACCACAGATACATTTATGAATAATCAAATAAAATGCTGGATATATTGATCCACTTTTTCTTCATTCTCTTATTTAAAATGAGCCCTTTTGATCAACATCACAGCAATACGTAAAAACCACTAACCCCATGTTTCTTTGCAGAATAAAATCCACCTGGCAAGCTTTTAGCCGCTTTCCCGTTCAAAACCACAACTAGCCCGCCTGCCGAGACAGAGCTTGTGCATCTTTGTTGTTCTGACGGGAGACAAACAGCTCCACTAAACATACACTGAGAGACTAAATCATCAGATAAACAAGTTGAACATTGCAGAGGCCAATCTCTGCAACAGTTGAGCCAATCTGACCTGGAAATTGTGCTGAGGGAAACTGAACCACTCTCACAGAAGGCCAAGACAGATCAAGGTAGACCGACGTAGACCATGGTAGACCAAGCTAGGATGGTATCACGCCACCACAAAGGATCTTTGCTGTACTAACTGAGAGATGGCAGGAAAATGTCTATATCAGAATCTGAACTCTACGGAGCCCTGCAAGGGCCAGGGGTAAAAAAAAAAATAAACTGTGCGCACAGATTACTAAACTGTGCGCACAGATTACTAATCTGTGCGCACAGTTTAGTAATCTGTGCGCACAGTTTAGCAATCTGTGCGCACAGTTTAACAATCTGTGCGCACAGTTTATTTTTTTTTTAACCCCTGGCCCTTGCAGGGCTCCGTAGAACAAAACAAGAAAGCATTAAAATCATAAATAATCACAGAACATTAAAAAGAAAGATAAAAATATAAAATCCCTCAGTTGTAGCACAGCTAAACAGAACTGTCTTTAACCTGGTTTTAAACATTGTCAGAGAGGAGGCCTGTCTCACATCTTCAGGAAGACTGTTCCAGATTTTAGCAGCATGAATCTGAAAAGCAGCCTCCCCATGTTTAGTTCTGACTCTGGGCACTAACAGGAGTCCAGTCCCTGTGCTCCTCAGAGTCCCAGCAGGAGTCCAGTCCCTGTGCTCCTCAGAGTCCCAGCAGTCCAGTCCCTGTGCTCCTCAGAGTCCCAGCAGGAGTCCAGTCCCTGTGCTCCTCAGAGTCCCAGCAGTAGTCCAGTCCCTGTGCTCCTCAGAGTCCCAGCAGGAGTCCAGTCCCTGTGCTCCTCAGAGTCCCAGCAGGAGTCCAGTCCCTGTGCTCCTCAGAGTCCCAGCAGTAGTCCAGTCCCTGTGCTCCTCAGAGTCCCAGCAGGAGTCCAGTCCCTGTGCTCCTCAGAGTCCCAGCAGGAGGCCAGTCCCTGTGCTCCTCAGAGTCCCAGCAGGAGGCCAGTCCCTGTGCTCCTCAGAGTCCCAGCAGGAGGCCAGTCCCTGTGCTCCTGAGAGTCCCAGCAGGAGGCCAGTCCCTGTGCTCCTGAGAGTCCCAGCAGGAGGCCAGTCCCTGTGCTCCTCAGAGTCCCAGCAGGAGGCCAGTCCCTGTGCTCCTCAGAGTCCCAGCAGGAGGCCAGTCCCTGTGCTCCTCAGAGTCCCAGCAGGAGGCCAGTCCCTGTGCTCCTCAGAGTCCCAGCAGGAGGCCAGTCCCTGTGCTCCTCAGAGTCCCAGCAGGAGTCCAGTCCCTGTGCTCCTCAGAGTCCCAGCTGGACGCCAGTCCCTGTGCTCCTCAGAGTCCCAGCAGGAGGCCAGTCCCTGTGCTCCTCAGAGTCCCAGCAGGAGGCCAGTCCCTGTGCTCCTCAGAGTCCCAGCTGGACGCCAGTCCCTGTGCTCCTCAGAGTCCCAGCAGGGGTCCAGTCCCTGTGCTCCTCAGAGTCCCAGCAGGAGTCCAGTCCCTGTGCTCCTCAGAGTCCCAGCAGGAGTCCAGTCCCTGTGCTCCTCAGAGTCCCAGCAGGAGTCCAGTCCCTGTGCTCCTCAGAGTCCCAGCAGGAGTCCAGTCCCTGTGCTCCTCAGAGTCCCAGCAGGAGTCCAGTCCCTGTGCTCCTCAGAGTCCCAGCAGGAGTCCAGTCCCTGTGCTCCTCAGAGTCCCAGCAGGAGTCCAGTCCCTGTGCTCCTCAGAGTCCCAGCAGGAGTCCAGTCCCTGTGCTCCTCAGAGTCCCAGCAGGAGTCCAGTCCCTGTGCTCCTCAGAGTCCCAGCAGGAGTCCAGTCCGTGTGCTCCTCAGAGTCCCAGCAGGAGTCCAGTCCCTGTGCTCCTCAGAGTCCCAGCAGGAGTCCAGTCCCTGTGCTCCTCAGAGTCCCAGCTGGACGCCAGTCCCTGTGCTCCTCAGAGTCCCAGCAGGAGTCCAGTCCCTGTGCTCCTCAGAGTCACAGCAGGAGGCCAGTCCCTGTGCTCCTCAGAGTCCCAGCAGGAGTCCAGTCCCTGTGCTCCTCAGAGTCACAGCAGGAGTCCAGTCCCTGTGCTCCTCAGAGTCCCAGCAGGAGTCCAGTCCCTGTGCTCCTCAGAGTCCCAGCAGGAGTCCAGTCCCTGTGCTCCTCAGAGTCTCAGCAGGAGTCCAGTCCCTGTGCTCCTCAGAGTCCCAGCAGGAGGCCAGTCCCTGTGCTCCTGAGAGTCCCAGCAGGAGTCCAGTCCCTGTGCTCCTCAGAGTCCCAGCTGGACGCCAGTCCCTGTGCTCCTCAGAGTCCCAGCAGGAGGCCAGTCCCTGTGCTCCTCAGAGTCCCAGCAGGAGTCCAGTCCCTGTGCTCCTCAGAGTCCCAGCAGGAGGCCAGTCCCTGTGCTCCTCAGAGTCCCAGCAGGAGTCCAGTCCCTGTGCTCCTCAGAGTCCCAGCAGGAGGCCAGTCCCTGTGCTCCTCAGAGTCCCAGCAGGAGGCCAGTCCCTGTGCTCCTCAGAGTCCCAGCAGGAGGCCAGTCCCTGTGCTCCTCAGAGTCCCAGCAGGAGGCCAGTCCCTGTGCTCCTCAGAGTCCCAGCAGGAGTCCAGTCCCTGTGCTCCTCAGAGTCCCAGCAGGAGGCCAGTCCCTGTGCTCCTCAGAGTCCCAGCAGGAGTCCAGTCCCTGTGCTCCTCAGAGTCCCAGCAGGAGGCCAGTCCCTGTGCTCCTCAGAGTCCCAGCAGGAGGCCAGTCCCTGTGCTCCTCAGAGTCCCAGCAGGAGGCCAGTCCCTGTGCTCCTCAGAGTCCCAGCAGGAGGCCAGTCCCTGTGCTCCTCAGAGTCCCAGCAGGAGGCCAGTCCCTGTGCTCCTCAGAGTCCCAGCAGGAGGCCAGTCCCTGTGCTCCTCAGAGTCCCAGCAGGAGGCCAGTCCCTGTGCTCCTCAGAGTCCCAGCAGGAGTCCAGTCCCTGTGCTCCTCAGAGTCCCAGCAGGAGGCCAGTCCCTGTGCTCCTCAGAGTCCCAGCAGGAGGCCAGTCCCTGTGCTCCTCAGAGTCCCAGCAGGAGGCCAGTCCCTGTGCTCCTCAGAGTCCCAGCAGGAGGCCAGTCCCTGTGCTCCTCAGAGTCCCAGCAGGAGGCCAGTCCCTGTGCTCCTCAGAGTCCCAGCAGGAGTCCAGTCCCTGTGCTCCTCAGAGTCCCAGCAGGAGGCCAGTCCCTGTGCTCCTCAGAGTCCCAGCAGGAGGCCAGTCCCTGTGCTCCTCAGAGTCCCAGCAGGAGGCCAGTCCCTGTGCTCCTCAGAGTCCCAGCAGGAGGCCAGTCCCTGTGCTCCTCAGAGTCCCAGCAGGAGGCCAGTCCCTGTGCTCCTCAGAGTCCCAGCAGGAGGCCAGTCCCTGTGCTCCTCAGAGTCCCAGCAGGAGGCCAGTCCCTGTGCTCCTCAGAGTCCCAGCAGGAGGCCAGTCCCTGTGCTCCTCAGAGTCCCAGCAGGAGTCCAGTCCCTGTGCTCCTCAGAGTCCCAGCAGGAGGCCAGTCCCTGTGCTCCTCAGAGTCCCAGCAGGAGTCCAGTCCCTGTGCTCCTCAGAGTCCCAGCAGGAGTCCAGTCCCTGTGCTCCTCAGAGTCCCAGCAGGAGGCCAGTCCCTGTGCTCCTCAGAGTCCCAGCAGGAGGCCAGTCCCTGTGCTCCTCAGAGTCCCAGCAGGAGGCCAGTCCCTGTGCTCCTCAGAGTCCCAGCAGGAGTCCAGTCCCTGTGCTCCTCAGAGTCCCAGCTGGACGCCAGTCCCTGTGCTCCTCAGAGTCCCAGCAGGGGTCCAGTCCCTGTGCTCCTCAGAGTCCCAGCAGGAGTCCAGTCCCTGTGCTCCTCAGAGTCCCAGCAGGAGTCCAGTCCCTGTGCTCCTCAGAGTCCCAGCAGGAGTCCAGTCCCTGTGCTCCTCAGAGTCCCAGCAGGAGTCCAGTCCCTGTGCTCCTCAGAGTCCCAGCAGGAGTCCAGTCCCTGTGCTCCTCAGAGTCCCAGCAGGAGGCCAGTCCCTGTGCTCCTCAGAGTCCCAGCAGGAGTCCAGTCCCTGTGCTCCTCAGAGTCCCAGCAGGAGGCCAGTCCCTGTGCTCCTCAGAGTCCCAGCAGGAGTCCAGTCCCTGTGCTCCTCAGAGTCCCAGCAGGAGTCCAGTCCCTGTGCTCCTCAGAGTCCCAGCAGGAGGCCAGTCCCTGTGCTCCTCAGAGTCCCAGCAGGAGGCCAGTCCCTGTGCTCCTCAGAGTCCCAGCAGGAGTCCAGTCCCTGTGCTCCTCAGAGTCCGGGCTGGTTCATATGGGACTAACATGTCACTAATATATTTTGGTGCGAGGCCATGGAGAGACTTGTAACAAGCAGAGCTGTTTTAAAGTCTATTCTCTGAGCCACAGGAAGCCAGTGCAGAGACCTGAGGACTGGACTAATGTGGTCGTACTTCCTGGTTCTAGTCAGGACTAATGTGGTCGTACTTCCTGGTTCTATTCAGGACTAATGTGGTCGTACTTCCTGGTTATTAACATGTATTTTGCTACCAGACCACCCGCTAAATATGAAATTGTTAGAAGTAGACACTTAAATGAAAACACGGGTGAACTATTTATGGGAATGATCCATTTTGAGAACACATCATGTTCTACTGTAGATGAACTGTTTAACTCTGTCACCTCTAGTGTGTTGAATGTTCTGGACGCCATTGCCCCTGTGAAGGTAAAAATGGTCACAAATAAGCAAAAAGCCCCATGGATAAAAGCAGGCCCGGTCAGGGCACAGAAGCAAGAGTGCCGGAGAGCAGAGAGAAAGTGGAGAAAGTCCAACCTCCAGGGTGATTATAGACTCTTAAAAGAGAAGTTGTGTGAGTTTAACAGAGTACTACGTAGAACAAGAGAATTATACTTTTTCTGAAACTATTGAAGGCTGCAGCAATAATCTGCGTGTTCTATTTTCAACAATCAATAGATTAACGAACCCCCCTGTTGAGTTGCCATTAGAACACTACTCCAAATCCAGGTGTAATGAGTTTGCACAGTTCTTCAGAGACAAGGTTCAGGGTATCAGAAATGCCATCACCTCTACAACACAAGTAACAATGCAACATCCAGTGAGGCTTTGTGAGCTAGCTCAATTTGCACCTGTCAATGATGAAACTGTTAAAAAGATAATCACAGGTCTTAGTTCCTCTACCTGCAGTCTGGATGTACTACCTCCTAGATTCCTGAAGTCTGTTATGTGTAGTCTATTACCCTCATTGACACAAATAGTAAAGATGTCTTTTTTATCTGGAACATTTCCAATGGCCCTGAAAAAGGCAGTCATTAGGCCCCTCCTAAAAAAGAGCAGTTTGGATGCTGCGGTACTTGAAAATTACCGTCCCATCTCAAATCTGCCTTTCATGGGAAAAATTCTTGAAAAAGTTGCCTACCAACAACTTACTGAATTTTTAATATCTAATGACTCATTTGACATGTTCCAGTCTGGCTTTAGACCACACCACAGTACTGAGACCGCTCTAGTCAAGGTAACAAATGATATTCGGCTTAACACTGATGCAGGAAAAGTCTCTGTTTTAGTCATGTTAGATCTGAGTGCCGCTTTCGACACCGTTGACCATGAGATTCTCATGCAGAGACTGGAGGACTGGGTTGGTGTTGCTGGTACCGCCCTAAGCTGGTTTAGGTCCTATCTAGAAGAAAGGAAGTACTGTGTGGAGATTGGAAACTATGTCTCAGATAATATGGCCCTGACCTGCGGAGTGCCACAGGGGTCGATTCTGGGACCTCTTCTGTTCAATATTTACATGCTGCCATTAGGTCAGTTAATTCAAAGTATGAAAGTGTCCTACCACAATTACGCTGATGACACTCAGATCTATGTCTCACTGACTGCAGGAGAGCATGGACCGGTGGACTCACTCCTTCGCTGTATCCAGCGGATCAGTGAGTGGATGCAATGCAATTTTCTCCAGCTAAATGCGGACAAAACCGAAATGATTGTCTTTGGTCCCGAGAAACAAAGAGAGACCGTCATTTGTCACCTTCAGTCTCTCTCCCTAAGGCCCTTAAATAAGGTCAGAAATCTGGGAGTAATAATGGACTCTGACTTAAACTTCAATAGCCACATTGGATCGGTAACATCAGCAGCTTTTTATCATCTGAAAAATATTGGCAAAATTAAAAATATTGTGTCCAGGGCAGACTTGGAGATTCTTATCCATTCTTTTGTTTCCAGTAGGCTGGATTACTGCAATGGCCTGCTCACAGGTATCTCCAAACATGCAGTAAAACAGCTGCAGTATATTCAAAATGCTGCAGCCCGAGTCCTGACTAGAACCAGGAAGTACGACCACATTAGTCCGGTCCTCAGGTCTCTGCACTGGCTTCCCGTGGCCCAGAGGATAGACTTTAAAGCAGCTCTCCTGGTGTACAAGTCTCTCCATGGCCTTGCACCAAAGTACATCCATGATATGCTAGTCCCATATGAACCAGCCCGGACTCTGAGGAGCGCAGGGACGGGACTCCTGTTAGTGCCCAGAGTCAGGACTAGACAGGGGGAGGCTGCTTTTCAGATTTATGCAGCTGGAGTCTGGAACAGTCTTCCTGAGGATGTGAGACTGGCTGCCTCTCTGTCAATGTTCAAATCCATGTTAAAGACTTTTCTTTTTTCCCGTGCATACAACTAGAGAATTTTATCTTTTTAACACACCTTGTTATTTATTGTTGTAACTTTTTGTGTTTTTAACTATTTTATTGTTTTTAATTACTTGTGTGATTTTTATGTTTTTAAATTACTTATGTGATTTTAATGCTTTTTAATTACATATGTGTTTTTAATTGTATTTTAATGGTGATGATTTGTGCATTGTGTGGTGTGGACTGTGAGGCGCTTTGTGTTGCCCTGTGCAGGAAAAGCGCCCTATAAATAAAGATTGATTGATGATTGATTGATACACCTGTTTTACCGAGTGGCATGTGTAGGCTACAAACCTCAAAGTTCACTACTGCGAGTGGACTTCAGGACGCTTTATATCTGGATATAACACACAACATATGTGTTTTCATGTTGGCATGAGGACGTGGTAAGTCAAATGAGTGCGTGGCAGTTTGTTGTTTATTTGTGTACACCAGGATAATTGGCTATTTCAACATTGGTAGCATTTCCTGGAGCAGCTTGAAACATTGAAATGCAGTGCATATAACTTGAAAATTAAAAGCTGGTCAAACAGGTGGTTGAATGGGTTTGTAGGCTATGTCTAAAGTGAATATGGTTCTATTTTGTCATTTCTGGTATTCCTGTTTATACATTCACTATGGCAGTGCAACCTTGAGCATAGCTTTTGCCTGTGATGTGACAGAATCAAAAACCACCGACCCCACAGACATAACAACTATTAACTACAAAACATCACAATGAGAAACGTTACTTTGGCGAAGCCATCCTGAATTTGTGGATGGTCGTATTCAGACTAAAAATCCTGTAGTCTGTTGCCAGCTTTAGACAGCAGCTCATGGAAGTGCGCACACAGACTTTAGATAGGGAGCCCACAGCTGATTGGACTGGGCCTGTACCAATAAGGGACATGAAAATCTGTCCTAAGCCCTCGTAGTGAGCAGACCTCCGCCAAGAGTTCCGTTCCCTAAAGAAAACCCAGTATCCAGATAGTGATTCTGACATCTTTTTGATTTGTTGCTAACAAACAGAAAATTGCACATAATATTATCTGAAAAGACTATATTTTTTGCCTTTAGCATGTTTGCACACTTCTGTCTTTTGCACAATCTGAGTGATTCTATCCATGCCAGATGTGACATGTACATTTCTCCTGTGGGAGATCAACAAAGTCTATCTTATCTTATCTTAAAAACTCTGGTTTGAAGTAACTAAAACAATTCCACAAGTAAGGAGATGAAAAAAGTTTTTTCATCAGAGATATTGTAAAAATAAATACTCAAGACATAAATACAAATGAAAAATCTATCAGCAAAGCTCACGGCTGTACCACATGCAGAGGAAAACCTGTGTGTTTCTGCAGACGTGAACACAGAGAACCCGGATGAGAAGTCTATCATCACGTACGTCGTCTCCTACTACCACTACTTCTCCAAGATGAAGGCCCTGATTGTGGAGGGCAAGCGTGTTGGGAAGGTACCTAGGATTTTATTACAATCAATTTTGTTAGCTTTACTTTACCTTTTCTTGTTTTAGCAATTTAGATAAGATATGTTTGTGTAGTTGGATTAGTATCAAATGAAAAAACTGCTCGGCGTTGTGTCAATGAGCACAACACTCAGAGGAGGATCAGGAACTGTTGTAACATGCGTGTGTGTGTGCGTGTGCACGTATGTGTGTGTGTGCACGTATGTGTGTGTGTGCACGTATGTGTGTGTGTGCACGTATGTGTGTGTGCACGTATGTGTGTGCACGTATGTGTGTGTGTGTGCACGTATGTGTGTGTGTGCACGTATGTGTGTGTGTGTGCACGTATGTGTGTGTGTGTGCACGTATGTGTGTGTGTGCACGTATGTGTGTGTGTGTGTGCACGTATGTGTGTGTGTGCACGTATGTGTGTATGTTTGTGTGTGTAAATATGTATGTGTGTCACAGGTCCTGGACAAGTGCATTGAGGCTGAGAATGTCATCCATCGGTACGAGGCGCTGGCCTCTGAGCTGCTGGACTGGATTGACAAGACCATTGCAGTCATCAGTAACCAGAAGTTTGCCAACTCCCTGAGCGGGGTGCAGCATCAGCTACAAGCCTTCACCAGCTACTGCACTGTGGAGAAGCCCAGCAAGTAGGTCCTGTCCCAGCAAGTAGGTCCTGTCCCAGCATGTAGGTCCTGTCCCAGCAAGTAGGTCTTGTCCCAGCAAGTAGGTCCTGTCCCAGCATGTAGGTCTTGTCCCAGCAAGTAGGTCCTGTCCCATCATGTAGGTCCTGTCCCATCATGTAGGTCCTGTCCCAGCAAGTAGGTCCTGTCCCAGCATGTAGGTCCTGTCCCAGCAAGTAGGTCTTGTCCCAGCAAGTAGGTCCTGTCCCAGCATGTAGGTCTTGTCCCAGCAAGTAGGTCCTGTCCCATCATGTAGGTCCTGTCCCATCATGTAGGTCCTGTCCCAGCAAGTAGGTCCTGTCCCATCATGTAGGTCCTGTCCCAGCAAGTAGGTCCTGTCCCATCATGTAGGTCCTGTCCCAGCAAGTAGGTCCTGTCCCAGCATGTAGGTCCTGTCCCAGCAAGTAGGTCCTGTAGGAATTAGTGCTGTCCAAAATATCGCGTTATTAACGCGTTAACGCAAATCAATATTAACGGCGTCATTTTTTTTATCGCGCGATTAAAAAAGAAAAAATATATTTTTTTTTTATTTTTTTTTTATTTTTTTTTTTTTACTTTTTATTTATCAGACAAACACATATACAGAAAAAAAAATAGAAACAAAGAAAAGGACTAGTTCAGATACATTGTAGACAGAGATTACAAACAATATGTAGTTGGAGATACAGGGGGCCAAAGAAGAAACCCAGAAGGGCACATAGGAGGGGAGGGGGGGGACATGAAGTGGGAGCTGGGGGGGAGGGGTTAATAAAAAAGGCAATACAAGCAAACAGTATACAGTCATAGATATACCGAAGGTAAACAGAGAAACAGCATAGAGTATTTACATGAACCAATTTACAAAATATTTACAGATTGTTTATCATCATCATAATGACACCATGGTGTTTCTATACAGTCTATGGTCTATACCCACACATACACACACACACCCATTATATTATTATATTTATCTACTTATTCATTCTTTTTTTTTATTTTTTATTATTATTATTAATTTTATTTTATTATTTTTATTTTATTTTAATTAATTCAAGGGACATAAAGAATAGATACAAATGCGTGACTAATTTGCGATTAATCGCGAGTTAACTATGAAATTCATGCGATTAATCGCGATTAAATATTTTAATCGTTGGACAGCACTAGTAGGAATATCCAAAATTAGAATGCGTTGGTCATTTTGGGTTACCAGCTTCTTGGTGAAGTCCAGTTGGTTTTGTCTCTACCTAACAATCATTCAAGTGTATGGTTAAAGTGATATTCTGGAACTCTAAATGAATTACAATTTTTAAGAATTTTATGAATTCTAATATTACGGGTAAGTCCCGCCTTCTCTTATCTTAGCTATAGCTCAAAATCCTCAATGCTGTCCACTTTAACCAATCAAGGGATTCCAGGGGCTGTCAATCATCGCGCTTGTGCTTGTATATATTTCAAATATATATATATATATATATATATAGTATATATAGTATATAGTTACTTCTGGGTTTATCGCAATCAATTTTTGGCGCATTAAAACAGTATTTTTGTCATGAAAACGTTAACAGTTAATTCTGAAAACCTCTGTGCATCTGTTTAAAGAATGCATATGTATAATGTATTCTTCGATTAACATTTAAATGTGTTGATTGATTGATATTTGTGTTATTGAGCGTGGCTAGGTCCGATAGGCGCTGAAAGCCCGTTGTGACGAAGTGTACGAACTACTGTCCGGAGTAATCTTAGTATCATACACACCTTAATTACAAGCACAGAGTGTGTTGCCACAGGGCAGCGGCCATTCTTGGTTTGAGAGTCCGTTATCAAGAAATAATGATTGGTACAATGTTGTAAAATTGTATTCTGATCAATGGAGCGTTCTCCTGCTGCTGTGAGGAACTGTATAACAAATTATGATTCAATATTTGAATATTTAAATTAATTATCTCTTCTCCGCATGACTTGGCCCATTGACCTGGCGCGTGCACGGAAAAGTAGGCGCAGCTTCAAGACCAATCAAAAAGGAAGGGGGAAGGAGCTTTTTTTTAATGTATTTTTTTCAAATCATGTACCTCTCTTTATTGTAACAAAGTCCAGACTATCACTTTAAGAGTAAAAGAACATGTTGCAGAACACACTGTGCCTTTTTAAATGTAAGATATCACAGAATTATTAGCTGGAAGTTACACTGTGGAAATAAAACACCAACACACACAATAAACATTTGAATTCTCTTTACACAGACGTTAGGAAGATACGTTTAGGGAGACCATATAAACATCCTTATAAGATATTCATGTTTGCTGCAGGCTGAGCAAAGCAGTAACCCAGAGTGCTATCTGCTTGTGTAGGTTCCAGGAGAAGGGGAACCTGGAGGTGTTGCTCTTCACAATCCAGAGCAAACTCCGCGCCAACAACCAGAAGCCGTACGTCCCTCCGGAGGGCAAGTTGCTCGCAGACATCAACAAGGTGCCCAGCCTGAGCCTATTACCAACAAATAACCTCCTATACCCCAGTCACTATAGCCGCGTTTCCACCGCAGGAGTTCCTGGTAAAAGGAGCGGGGTGGAACTTTTACAGGAACCTTCCTCTCAGTGTCAGTGTCTCTCCTGCAGTAGGACCACTCGGCAACGTCATATGTTTCGATCGCTGCAGAAGCAAAACTCATTACGCCAAACCTGTTATTATTATAGATCCATGCGCCAAACCCATTTGTTTATTTTACGTTCGTGACCGCTCCGGTTGTTGTGGTCTTTGAGTTTTTTATAGTCCTGCTTCAGTTTTTAAAAACTTTTTACAGCTTGTTTTGGAGTGTGATGATTCCCCAGTGCTTCGAGGTGAAGCTGACATGTCTTAATATATCTTTTTATTTTGCTGCGATGCCTCAAACCCCGTCTGAATCATCATGCTGTTGTTTGCTGTTTCCAGTGGTGTCTGCTGGGCTAATTCTGCTAGGCTAATTCTGCTAGGCTAATGCTGCTGGGCTAATGCTGCTGGGCTAATGCTGCTAGGCTAATTCTGCTAGGCTAATGCTGCTAGGCTAATGCTGCTGGGCTAATGCTGCTGGGCTAATGCTGCTAGGCTAATGCTGCTGGGCTAATGCTGCTGGGCTAATGCTGCTGGGCTAATGCTGCTGGGCTAATGCTGCTGGGCTAATGCTGCTGGGCTAATGCTGCTGGGCTAATGCTGCTGGGCTAATGCTGCTGGGCTAATGCTGCTGGGCTAATTCTGCTAGGCTAATGCTGCTGGGCTAATGCTGCTGGGCTAATGCTGCTGGGCTAATGCTGCTGGGCTAATGCTGCTGGGCTAATGCTGCTAGGCTAATGCTGCTGGGCTAATGCTGCTGGGCTAATGCTGCTGGGCTAATGCTGCTAGGCTAATGCTGCTGGGCTAATGCTGCTGGGCTAATGCTGCTAGGCTAATGCTGCTAGGCTAATGCTGCTGGGCTAATGCCGGTTGTTTTGCTACTTTCTGCTGGCGTCTGAGCGGTCTGAGCCTGCGCTAGCTTTAGCCAATCAGTGCCAGTGTAGCAGGCCAGTTTAACTCCCCGCTATATACCCGGGTATAAAGTAGCCTAGGCCAGATTATACCCCAGGTATAAATTGGCCTAGGCTAACCCCCCACAGGCCAGATTTACCCCCCTTCATTTTTTTATAGTCACAATAAAATACTCATGTCTCCCACTGATGACTGCTGTCGTTGTGTCCTTGGGCAAGACACTTAAGGCTTCAGGCAAAGTGAAGCCCCCCCCGACCCAGAAATGGATTAAGGGGAAGAAAATGGATGGATGGACAATAAAATGTGTGATATTTTAAGAGATATTTTAGCTATTTCTTTATTTCTTTATTTCTTACAAAATACATCTCGAGGAAGGACATGATTTATGAAATAAACTATTTTATACTATAAAACAAAGTACTGTAAGAAATCAATTAGCGATACAATATAAATGTTGATATACCATATTGTATTTACTTGATAAAAGTATAACAATGTCTAATAGTCCTGTACTGTACTGTGCAGTACCATACTACACCATACGGTCTCATCATCAAGTCTCATCACCCAAAACCAATCACAGCCCTAAAGTGCTCGGACTCGAGGTATATGCAGTCTCCTGTTGCTCTTACACTGAGTACATCTGGAACAGCTCCGCAGATGTTAGTAGTCCTTAACAGTAGGCGCATGAGTAAGTCATTTTTATACAGTGAGACTAAGCGCTTTACAATTGTTGTTGGCATTTTTCCTCTCACACAATGATAATGTAAGATTTTTACCAAATCAACTCAAACCACTATTCCTTTTGTTCTCAAGCAGGTGTATGTTTTGTTGGATTTATATTCAATTACAACAAAAAGTCAATGTTGTCATAATTGTTTTTCCTTAACTATTCAAGCACAAATATATAGTACCTGTGGTACCTGTATCTTTCTAGCCATTAATAATGGAACTACACTATGCGATACAGTTCATGTCTTGTCCATGCCATGTTATAGTAGTTTCACACGCCCTCTTTAGGTGAGCTTTTTGTACATAATGTATTAATAATGAAATGAAATGACATAAGACCCTAACCCTTACATGAGTTGTGTTGTTGGAAGTGTTATGAGTGCTTCTGTGGTAATGTGGTAATGTGCAGGCCTGGGAGCGACTGGAAAAGGCAGAGCATGAAAGAGGCGTGGCCCTGCGCAAAGAGCTCATTCGTCAGGAGAAGCTGGAGCTGCTGGCTCAGCGCTTCGACCACAAGACCACCATGAGGCAGGCGTGGCTCAACGAGAACCAGAGGCTGGTGTCACAGGTGCCCTCTTACTCACTAATCCACATAAACTCGTCCTCTCTGTTGAAATGCATCTATCTCATACTTGATATGCTATGACAAATTCTTACAATCAGAATGTTTTCAAAGCATGAGTGTAGTACGTTGATAAAGGGACTTTCTTCAGCCAGCTGAGCAGATGAAGCCTTCCCTTTTAAATGAAGTCTCCCTTTTAAATAGGTGTCATATTTTTGCCTTTGCGCTCAAACTTTTAAATAGTACAAGTCAGGGATGCACACAACTCTCTGACCCGCAAGTCCAAGTTACGTTCTAGTCTAGTCCCCCAGACTTTATTGTTCCGCAAGGGAAATTGCGTTGTCACAGTAGCTTGCATAGTATTTCATAATAAAAATAACAGCAATCTGAAAGTAACCATAATAATTTAATATTGTGAGAATAGAATAATCTGGATGCAGGTGCTGAGGAATATACATCCTCCAGCCTCTGAATGTCACACACAACAGTCTCTGACACACACAACAGCCTCTGTCACACACAACAGCCTCTGAATGTCACACACAACAGTCTCTCACACACACAACAGCCTCTGTCACACACAACAGCCTCTGAATGTCACACACAACAGTCTCTGACACACACAACAGCCTCTGTCACACACAACAGCCTCTGAATGTCACACACAACAGTCTCTGACACACACAACAGCCTCTGTCACACACAACAGCCTCTGAATGTCACACACAACAGTCTCTGACACACACAACAGCCTCTGTCACACACAACAGCCTCTGAATGTCACAGTCCAGCCTGTGTCACACACAACAGCCTCTGTCACACACAACAGCCTCTGACACACAACAGCCTCTGTCACACACAACAGCCTCTGTCACACACAACAGCCTCTGACACACACAACAGCCTCTGACACACACAACAGCCTGTGTCACACACAACAGTCTCTGACACACAACAGCCTCTTTCACACACAACAGCCTCTGACACACACAACAGCCTCTGTCACACACAACAGCCTGTGTCACACACAACAGTCTCTGACACACACAACAGCCTCTGTCACACACAACAGTCTCTGACAAACACACAACAGCCTGTGTCACACACAACAGTCTCTGACACACAACAGCCTCTTTCACACACAACAGCCTCTGACACACACAACAGCCTCTGACACACACAACAGCCTCTGACACACACAACAGCCTCTGACACACACAACAGCCTCTGACACACACAACAACCTCTGACACACACAACAACCTCTGACACACACAACAACCTCTGACACACACAACAACCTCTGACACACACAACAGCCTCTGACACACACAACAGCCTCTGACACACACAACAGCCTCTGACACACACAACAGCCTCTGACACACACAACAGCCTCTGACACACACAACAGCCTCTGACACACACAACAGCCTCTGACACACACAACAGCCTCTGACAGACACAACAGCCTCTGACACACACAACAGCCTCTGACACACACAACAGCCTCTGACACACACAACAGCCTCTGACACACACAACAGCCTCTGACACACACAACAGCCTCTGAATGTCACACACAACAGCCTCTGAATGTCACACACAACAGCCTCTGACACACACAACAGCCTCTGACACACAACAGTCTCTGATACACACAACAGCCTCTGTCACACACAACAGCCTCTGAATGTCACACACAACAGTCTCTGACACACACAACAGCCTCTGTCACACACAACAGCCTCTGAATGTCCAGCCTGTGTCACACACAACAGCCTCTGTCACACACAACAGCCTCTGACACACAACAGCCTCTGACACACACAACAGCCTCTGACACACACAACAGCCTCTGACACACAACAGCCTCTGACACACACAACAGCCTCTGACACACACAACAGCCTCTGACACACACAACAGCCTCTGACACACACAACAACCTCTGACACACACAACAACCTCTGACACACACAACAACCTCTGACACACACAACAGCCTCTGACACACACAACAGCCTCTGACACACACAACAGCCTCTGACACACACAACAGCCTCTGACACACACAACAGCCTCTGACACACAACAGTCTCTGACACACACAACAGCCTCTGTCACACACAACAGCCTCTGAATGTCACACACAACAGTCTCTGACACACACAACAGTCTCTGTCACACACAACAGCCTCTGAATGTCACAGTCCAGCCTGTGTCACACACAACAGCCTCTGTCACACACAACAGCCTCTGACACACAACAGCCTCTGTCACACACAACAGCCTCTGTCACACACAACAGCCTCTGTCACACACAACAGCCTCTGACACACACAACAGCCTCTGACACACACAACAGCCTGTGTCACACACAACAGTCTCTGACACACAACAGCCTCTTTCACACACAACAGTCTCTGACACACAACAGCCTCTTTCACACACAACAGCCTCTGACACACACAACAGCCTCTGACACACACAACAGCCTCTGTCACACACAACAGCCTGTGTCACACACAACAGTCTCTGACAAACACACAACAGCCTCTGTCACACACAACAGTCTCTGACAAACACACAACAGCCTCTGTCACACACAACAGCCTCTGACACACACAACAGCCTCTGACACACACAACAGCCTCTGACACACACAACAACCTCTGACACACACAACAACCTCTGACACACACAACAGCCTCTGACACACACAACAGCCTCTGACACACAACAGCCTCTGACACACAACAGCCTCTGACACACACAACAGCCTCTGACACACACAACAGCCTCTGACACACACAACAGCCTCTGACACACACAACAGCCTCTGAATGTCACACACAACAGCCTCTGAATGTCACACACAACAGCCTCTGACACACACAACAGCCTCTGAATGACACACACAACAGCCTCTGAATGACACACACAACAGCCTCTGACACACACAACAGCCTCTGTCACACACAACAGCCTCTGAATGACACACACAACAGCCTCTGACACACACAACAGCCTCTGACACACACAACAGCCTCTGTCACACACAACAGCCTCTGAATGACACACACAACAGCCTCTGACACACACAACAGCCTCTGTCACACAACAGCCTCTGACACACACAACAGCCTCTGAATGACACACACAACAGCCTCTGACACACACAACAGCCTCTGTCACACAACAGCCTCTGACACACACAACAGCCTCTGACACACACAACAGCCTCTGTCACACAACAGCCTCTGACACACAACAGCCTCTGACACACACAGCAGCCTCTGACACACAACAGCCTCTGACACACACAACAGCCTCTGACACACAACAGCCTCTGACACACACAACAGCCTCTGACACACAGCAGCCTCTGTCACACACACAACAGCCTCTGACACACACACAACAGCCTCTGACACACACAACAGCCTCTGACACACACAACAGCCTCTGACACACACAACAGCCTCTGTCACACACAACAGCCTCTGTCACACACAACAGCCTCTGACACACACAACAGCCTCTGTCACACACAACAGCCTCTGACACACACAACAGCCTCTGTCACACACAACAGCCTCTGACACACACAACAGCCTCTGACACACACAGCAGCCTCTGTCACACACACAACAGCCTCTGACACACACACAACAGCCTCTGACACACACACAACAGCCTCTGACACACACACAACAGCCTCTGACACACACAACAGCCTCTGACACACACAACAGCCTCTGTCACACACAACAGCCTCTGACACACACAACAGCCTCTGACACACAACAGCCTCTGACACACACACAACAGCCTCTGACACACACAACAGCCTCTGACACACACAACAGCCTCTGTCACACACAACAGCCTCTGTCACACACAACAGCCTCTGTCACACACAACAGCCTCTGACACACACAACAGCCTCTGTCACACACAGCAGCCTCTGTCACACACAACAGCCTCTGACACACACAACAGCCTCTGACACACAACAGCCTCTGTCACACACAACAGCCTCTGTCACACAACAGCCTCTGTCACACAACAGCAGCCTCTGTCACACAACAGCCTCTGACACACACAGCAGCCTCTGACACACACAACAGCCTCTGACACACAACAGCCTCTGACACACACACAACAGCCTCTGACACACACAACAGCCTCTGACACACACAACAGCCTCTGTCACACACAACAGCCTCTGTCACACACAACAGCCTCTGTCACACACAACAGCCTCTGACACACACAACAGCCTCTGTCACACACAACAGCCTCTGTCACACACAGCCTCTGACACACACAACAGCCTCTGTCACACACAACAGCCTCTGACACACACAACAGCCTCTGACACACAACAGCCTCTGTCACACACAACAGCCTCTGTCACACACAACAGCCTCTGTCACACACAACAGCCTCTGACACACACAGCAGCCTCTGACACACACAACAGCCTCTGTCACACACAACAGCCTCTGTCACACACAACAGCCTCTGACACACACAACAGCCTCTGACACACAACAGCCTCTGACACACACAGCAGCCTCTGACACACACAGCAGCCTCTGACACACACAACAGCCTCTGACACACACAGCAGCCTCTGACACACACAACAGCCTCTGACACACAACAGCCTCTGACACACAACAGCCTCTGACACACACAGACACACACAACAGCCTGTGCAGATTCTCCCTTTAGGACCCAGCAGAGTCTTCTGTACGAGCAGCTGTCGGGGCTCTCTCTGTCGTCCAGACGTCAGCTTCATTGGCTGCTGTTTATTTATAAATGTATTCATTTCAGTTTTTCGGACGATTTAAAACAATATTTGATTCCGCTCAGATCCTCACAGTTTGTGTCACACAAACCAATGTTTCTCTGTTGTCCCAAGAGTTAAGAAAGAAGTCTGAAAACATCCATTTAAATGTAAAGCTCCTTCTGACTGGAACAGTTTACCTTCATCTGCTCTGACTTCTCTGGCTCTGTTTAACACTGCTCTGGTCCAACACATCCAGAACCAACACTGCTCTGGTCCAACACCTCCAGAACCAACACTGCTCTGGTCCAACACCTCCAGAACCAACACTGCTCTGGTCCAACACCTCCAGAACCAACACTGCTCTGGTCCAACACCTCCAGAACCAACACTGCTCTGGTCCAACACATCCAGAACCAACACTGCTCTGGTCCAACACCTCCAGAACCAACACTGCTCTGGTCCAACACATCCAGAACCAACACTGCTCTGGTCCAACACCTCCAGAACCAACACTGCTCTGGTCCAACACCTCCAGAACCAACACTGCTCTGGTCCAACACCTCCAGAACCAACACTGCTCTGGTCCAACACCTCCAGAACCAATGTTTAACACTGCTCTGGTCCAACACCTCCAGAACCAACACTGCTCTGGTCCAACACCTCCAGAACCAACACTGCTCTGGTCCAACACATCCAGAACCAACACTGCTCTGGTCCAACACCTCCAGAACCAACACTGCTCTGGTCCAACACCTCCAGAACCAACACTGCTCTGGTCCAACACCTCCAGAACCAACACTGCTCTGGTCCAACACCTCCAGTACCAACACTGCTCTGGTCCAACACCTCCAGAACCAACACTGCTCTGGTCCAACACCTCCAGAACCAATGTTTAACACTGCTCTGGTCCAACACCTCCAGAACCAATGCTTAACACTGCTCTGGTCCAACACCTCCAGAACCAATGTTTAACACTGCTCTGGTCCAACACCTCCAGAACCAATGCTTAACACTGCTCTGGTCCAACACCTCCAGAACCAATGTTTAACACTGCTCTGGTCCAACACCTCCAGAACCAACACTGCTCTGGTCCAACACCTCCAGAACCAATGCTTAACACTGCTCTGGTCCAACACCTCCAGAACCAATGCTTAACACTGCTCTGGTCCAACACCTCCAGAACCAATGCTTAACACTGCTCTGGTCCAACACCTCCAGAACCAATGCTTAACACTGCTCTGGTCCAACACCTCCAGAACTAATGCTTAACACTGCTCTGGTCCAACACCTCCAGAACCAACACTGCTCTGGTCCAACACCTCCAGAACCAATGCTTAACACTGCTCTGGTCCAACACCTCCAGAACCAACACTGCTCTGGTCCAACACCTCCAGAACCAACACTGCTCTGGTCCAACACATCCAGAACCAACACTGCTCTGGTCCAACACCTCCAGAACCAACACTGCTCTGGTCCAACACATCCAGAACCAACACTGCTCTGGTCCAACACCTCCAGAACCAACACTGCTCTGGTCCAACACCTCCAGAACCAACACTGCTCTGGTCCAACACCTCCAGAACCAACACTGCTCTGGTCCAACACCTCCAGAACCAATGTTTAACACTGCTCTGGTCCAACACCTCCAGAACCAACACTGCTCTGGTCCAACACCTCCAGAACCAACACTGCTCTGGTCCAACACATCCAGAACCAACACTGCTCTGGTCCAACACCTCCAGAACCAACACTGCTCTGGTCCAACACCTCCAGAACCAACACTGCTCTGGTCCAACACCTCCAGAACCAACACTGCTCTGGTCCAACACCTCCAGTACCAACACTGCTCTGGTCCAACACCTCCAGAACCAACACTGCTCTGGTCCAACACCTCCAGAACCAATGTTTAACACTGCTCTGGTCCAACACCTCCAGAACCAATGCTTAACACTGCTCTGGTCCAACACCTCCAGAACCAATGTTTAACACTGCTCTGGTCCAACACCTCCAGAACCAATGCTTAACACTGCTCTGGTCCAACACCTCCAGAACCAATGTTTAACACTGCTCTGGTCCAACACCTCCAGAACCAACACTGCTCTGGTCCAACACCTCCAGAACCAATGCTTAACACTGCTCTGGTCCAACACCTCCAGAACCAATGCTTAACACTGCTCTGGTCCAACACCTCCAGAACCAATGCTTAACACTGCTCTGGTCCAACACCTCCAGAACCAATGCTTAACACTGCTCTGGTCCAACACCTCCAGAACTAATGCTTAACACTGCTCTGGTCCAACACCTCCAGAACCAATGCTTAACACTGCTCTGGTCCAACACCTCCAGAACCAATGCTTAACACTGCTCTGGTCCAACACCTCCAGAACCAATGCTTAACACTGCTCTGGTCCAACACCTCCAGAACCAATGCTTAACACTGCTCTGGTCCAACACCTCCAGAACCAATGCTTAACACTGCTCTGGTCCAACACCTCCAGAACCAAGGCCAGTGTTACTGAGCATACATTATGAATCTAAATTATATTTAATGATATGTACTACTATAAATACTGACTGTAATCACTGTTAATTATAATAGACATTCTATTCACAACACTGTGCGTGTGTGTGCGTGTGTGTTTGTGCGTGTGCGCGTGTTTGTGTCTGTGTTTGTGTTTGTGTTTGTGTGTGTGTTTGTGTTTGTGTGTGCGCGTGTTTGTGTGTGCGTGTTTGTGTGTGTGTGCGCGTGTTTGTGTGTGTGCGCGTGCGCATGTTTGTGTGTGTGTTTGTGTGCGTGTGCGCGCGTGTGTGTGTGTGTTTGTGTGTTTGTGTGTGTGTGTGTTTTCTATGAATTCTGTAATATTGTTTGATCTACTGTCTACCTTAGTGAATCAGAATCTGTCATTTTGTGCAATTTTGAGGGGCTTTTCCCCCAAACAAATAAATAGAGAAATGAATACATAAAAAGGTAAATACAAAAATACAATGCTAAAGTGTTTCTGATGTTATAAGGGTAGAAAATGGATGTTTGTTACTGTCATTGTAGGAATCTACAACTGAAGATTTCTCAGACGCTTTTCTCCAAAGCTTGCATTTCTATGTGGGCTACGGGCCACATTTAGATTATTATCTGATTTGCTCTGAGCTGGACATTCTGAATACAATCCACAAACACAGTAAACTATATCTAAAGGTTATAACTAAGTTACATTACACACAAGAAGTTCCCTGCCATCTTTGTAGAATAACCTAACCTTGTGAGAAGTTAAACAATGATCACCGATTAACATGAGTGATAAATTACACTTGAGATTTTAATACTTAAGATTGACCAATATGTTTATATTAAATGTATTCTTTTTTAGAGTGTATTTTTCCAGCCTTAAACATTTAAACCTGCATGCCATATCCATTGCATCCATGTTAAGACTGCGGGCCCCTGCCGCAGCCGACCACCTTGGGCGGCACGGTGGCTGAGTGGATAGCACTCTTGCCTCTCAGCAAGAAGGTCCTGGGTTCGAATCCCGGCCGGACGAGGGCCTTTCTGAGTGGAGTTTGCATGTTCTCCCCGTGTCTGCGTAGGTTTCCTCCGGGTACTCCGGTTTCCCCTACCACTAAAAATATGTACAATAGGTCTGGCATGCGCCTCCTGTACTGGCCCCGCTCCCATCTCTGTGTGGAGTGAGAGACTAATGCCCAAAAAATAACAATTGTAAACCGCTTTGTGACTCTGGTCTGTGAAAGGCGGTATATAAATAAAGCTTACTTACTTACTTACTTACTTACTTACTTACTTGTGTGCTCTTTCCCCAGTCAGCAATCCTTGTACCACAGCATGCTCCTGATAGTTCTGGTAATGAAGGTTTTGTGCTGTGAGCTCTTATTTAAGCTTTAAGCTCAGACCATAGGTGAGGGAGGGAACAAAGAATGACCGGTAAATCAAGAGCTTTGCCTTTAGGCTCAGCTCCATTTATCACAAAAGTCCGATACCACGACTGCGCCCACTGCACCGATCCACCTGTCAATCTCCCGCTCCATCCTTCCCTCACTTGTAAACAAGACCCAGAGATACTTGAACTCCTCCACTTGAGGAAGACAACTATATCCATGACTTGTTGATAGGAATTAGTGAATGATACTTACGACACTTGGCCTTTGCTGTTCACATGTGCCGGACGGCTGTTGTGGTGATTGTAGTCCAAAGCTGCGAGAAGTGTTCTTGCTTCATAAACAAAAAATGAAAAAGCAAACCGCTTTCCAGCATACATCAGAATGTGGTTTTGGAATGTTTGCAAGGAAAGTAGAAAATAGAAAAAACGCAATTCATAAAAAAAAATAAAAGGTTTTTCGTTCTACTGAACTCTCTTATCTCTTACCGAAATGTGAGGAACTTCTCCACATCCTTCAGCCATCTGCGGTTCAGCACGATCTGTGACAGTGCCACATGTGCTTTAGAGCCAGGCGTACAGGCTCTTTAGTGCCATCATCCCCCAAAGGACCATGGAGGTTCTACCCAGGGCCCACTCATGCACGCCACTAACATGGTGCAGTACACCTCGCCACATGTCCTGATCAGCAAACATAAGAAACTGAAAAGGTATAGTGAGAATGAAAAGTAGTATGTTATACACTATGATAAATTCTAGTTCTAGTGTATTTACCATGAACTCTTCTCGGCTGCTTGCATGCTGACAGGCATACTAAAAATGGTTAACAATGTCCTTGATCCACCCTAGGATTTGTTTTTCTACCTGCTAGGACACCCGCATATCAGTTATTAGTTTTGGTTAGCTTTTTAAAATTAATTGAATGAGAAACGATATGAACTATCACTTACAGCATGAAGCCTCTTAGTTAGATTTTTTGCAGCGTAGCAGACATCCAGGGAATGGGCAACTCCATCATCCATATATCTTCCCCGTTCTGGATCTATTTTGAAGCTCAAAAATGTAGTAAGCACAAAATATAGTACATCAAATAATACAGAGAAAAATACTTACGCATTAGGGCTGCCCATTTTGCCTACCCTAAATAGCAATCTCTAATTTCAGCACTCACTCACCCATTCCAATATGATCGATGTGCCCCTAGAACGTGATTGAACCGAAAATGGAGGCCGACCGTCACACTCAACTACAAAAACCGGGTCGCTGTAGTGGCCTTTGTTGATGGGCAGTTGCCGAAAATTAGCCGTTTGCAGCAAGCTAATAGTATACGCTATGCATGCCTGTTGGTGCACGAGGTCCGTTTCAGCAACCACACGAATTGGCTTTGGGAATGTTGATATGTCCTGCTCAGACTGATCCTCAAAGTCCTCTGGGTCTGTGGGACTTTCTGAGTCACAGATGTCCAACACAGCTTCTTCTATGCCGAGGATGAACTTCTCTTTGAATTGCAGCACCAGCACTGAAAAAAGGAACAATATATACCTCTTCAAAAAAACAATTAGGGAAGGACTTTCATTATTTTCAGGACAGAATATAAAATAAAAAAAACTTCAAAGATATTGGTGGGACATATTCTGAATCGAATGGATCTGAGGCCAAATATTCGTCAAACTCAATCCTGTGAAAGTAAACGGGTCATTTTAAAACAATAATCAACAAAATAATGTTTCTAAATGTTTTTAGTAACACACAGTGTCTTCTAGATTGTTGGCCCGTTTTTTTAAATATTCAGCAGATTTGATGCTACACAAAACAAATGATATAAATAAAAGGCCTAGAAATGAGAATACAAGGTACAAAGCCTCCAGCTCTTTCGCCTCTATAAAAGGCCCTGCCACACATAAGTCATCCCTGTTGAAAAATACAGTTTGTTTCAGTGACATTGTCAATAAGGCTTGAATCAAACATAATGCGTATCCCAAAATGAGGATGAGTACGCCAAATGAGGATCTATTTTTTTTTTTTATCCCCAAAGCGTTTGGGAAACTTCTCCATTTCTCAAACGCATGACCGAGAGCGACTCGGGTCTGAGCTCTTCGCTGGTCGGCCTCTCGCGCCGCTCTTTTCGTAGCACTGGTAACAATCTTTCTTCTCCTCGTTTGGCGTGGAGTTCCAGACGGTGATTCTGAAGCTGGTCTCTAAGAAACTGCTGGATCCATCTTCAAATACGCGTGATACGAGGACGGGACAGATCCACTGAACGCGAGGAAACACATGGAGCCAAAACAGTGAACGGTCACTTCCGCTTAAACAGCGAGAAAGCGACCCTTGGATTTTTCATTCACTGTATGCACTTATAGAAGCAACCGCAGTGAATCTGCTAATGCTCAGTTTACACACCAGGCAATTGCTGATGGACCACAGACGCAAAATATTGCATTTTTGCATTTTTCAACTGACGCAATGCACCTTTAAGATAAAATAATACTGAGAAAATTCTTCCATCAAAGAATATATTTATCTATTTATTTATTATGGATGGCCCCTTGAGATGACGCATCTCTTTTTTGAGGGGGTCCTCATCATCCGTTTGGGTTATAAATATAAAAATTGCATACATGACCACAAAGACAGACAAGACAACATGCACATACAGTACATAAGGACAGAAACTCAGGTTTGTGCTTATCTCAAACCCGAGTCCACATCCGCTCCTACAGTGACTAACCCTAACCCTAACCCTACAGTTATTACTTTTATTTATTTATGTATTTTCATTTTTGAACGCTACTTAAAGCAATCACATGGCGACTTCAGGTGTGTAACTAAAGCAGTTTTACCACTGGTGAGTGAGGAAATAGTTTTTATGGAAGCTGGGAAATGTTCCAGTCCTCAGGGGCTCTGTAGCAGGGGGCGTGTCTCTTTATGTATTCTGGGAGTAATGAAAGTCTTAGTCACTTAGTGCATATAAAGAGGTAGCTCTCACCAAATGTTTTTGGAGATAATGGTTCTAGTCAATGCCCCTCCTGACACATTTAAAGATAAGAATGTCCCAATGGTAGTCTCTTTCCTTTGCCTGCAGCCAGTTCAGTTGGTCATAGAGGGTACAATGGTGTGTCATGAATGGACACCTTAGAACAAATCTACAGATGGCATTGAAACTTAAATCCAGAGTTTTTAGGGTGGGTATTTTAGAGCTGTTAAAAACAATGTGGGTATGAATGAATTGTAGTGGGTTGTATTTGATTGGATAAGTGGATTCTTAAATTTAATTTGCAGTTGTGGACCCTCAAAGCCAGTGAGGGTCCTTCTTTTCTGTCCTAATCATAATCAGATTTTATTTTGTATATATGTGTTTTCCACAAATATGTCTTCAATTATTCCTCATAGTCTATATTGGATGTTTCATATTTTTCCTAAGTAGTTGCCAAGATGAGGGGCTGGGGCTATGTGTACTGGGTGCCACCCCCTGAAATGAATTAAGGGGAAGAAATCTGCCTTTAATGCCTTCAGAATAAACAGTGCTGCCTCATTGTAGATTAAAGCAGTGGTTCTAAACCTGGGTTCTGTCGAACCCTAGGGGTTCGGTAAAGCCTGCGCTGCAGAGGTATGGACACACACAAAGTATCTAGTGAGAGGCAAACAATCCCGACGCACCAGATATTGTGTTGCTCTTCCTGAAGCAGACTGCTTTGCAACACAGTGTTGGGACGTATATCAAACTGTGTCGGTGTGTCGAAGCGGTTCATTGGCTCAATGCACTTGAAACAGTCTTGGCCTCAGAGCGCTACGGGACTTCATATGTCCAGTTATTGCTAAGAAAGCCCTGGATTTTTAAATATCTTTTGTTACAAAATCTTTGTGAGCAATCCTTTTCGAGGATGCTGGATATAGAAACTAGAAAAGGAACAAGTGTCAGAGCCAGATCTATACAAGGCTATGCAGAGCAGACATGCCAATGTCTCATTATAGCTATCTCTAAATAAATAACTGATATTTAAATCAACAAGAGGATTATTGAAAGAGTGCACATATTCAGGCATATATATTTTTTTAATAAATATGTTTATTGAGGAAGAGCATAAACGATAAACATCGAGAAGTTAGTTTTCCTCGTTACATTTTCTTATTTTTCTCCCCAATAGATAGGCCTACAATGAACAGAAATCAAATTAAATTAAGTTTAAAGGCCATTACATATATATAAGCTACATAAACACAAAAATCAAAATAGACTTACAAACAAAATATCCTCACACACCCACACACACATACAGGGAAAGGAGGGGGGGGGTATTAGTCTGTATTAATCTGAAGGCAAGGTTCGAAGTGATGTACAGTGTTCAATAAAGGAACCCCACTTATGTTCAAATTTTTCATTTCCTTTCATTGTGAGACTTATTTTCTCCATTTTAATAAACGATAAAACATCATGAATCCATTGAGATATTAAAGGTGCATTAGAGGATTTCCAAAAAAGCAATTTTTTTCTTTGAGCAATTAGTGTAAAAGACAATATTTTGGAGTGCAAAGAATTTGTTAAAACAGAGTTTACTGGAATACCAAAGATGGATAAATAGGGATTCAAACCTACTTTATTTTAAGGGCTTTAGATACAAAATCAGTATATTGGTTCCAGAAATGCTGCAGTGCTGGACACAGAACCTGAGGCTCAGGTCACATGGGCTCGCTTGACCTCTTTCACACTCATCCACTATCTGTGGGTACCTTTTGTACAATACTTTAAACTGAATAAGTCGCAGCCTCGTCGATGGTGAACTTGATCGAATAGATGATATTGCCGTTTCCCACGGACTATCTGAACGTTCCCAAGGTTCTTTAGCTTTAGATGTTGTGTACGTATCCAAGTCCATAAGTTGTTTATATATAACCGATATAATCGACTTCTTATTCGGTTTAAGAGATAGCCACTGTTCCCATGGTTGGGTCTCTGGAAGAGAAGGATAAGATGAATAAAGGGAAGATATACAGTGCCGTATCTGAAAATAACAAATGAGTGGCAGGAAGTTTAAAGCTTTGAAAAGTCTTTTAATAGATTCCTAAAGGTTCTAACACCAGAATTATTCCACAACACAGTAGGTAGTATCAACAAGGCCAGGAGGAAACAGATGATTTTTTACAATGGGCATTGTTATTGATGCAGAGACAAATTTAAAGTGGTTTCTGTTCTGTGACCATATTTTAAGAGTGGATAGCACTACAGGATTGAAACGGGCAAAGGTGATCGGAAGTGAAGAGGACACAAGAGCCTTGAGCGATGATGAGGAACATGACTGGGATTCTAGTTTACACCAAAACAATTCATCTGGAGCCAGTATGTCAATTTATGAATATGAGCTGACCAATAATAATATAGAAAGTTGGGCAAGGCAAGTCCGCCACTAAATGTGAACCTCTGCAAAAGTGTTTTCTTCACCCTGGGGTTTTTACCCTCCCACAGAAAGGAAGTGACAAGTGTATCCAAAGTTTTAAAAGAGTTTTGGGGAGGAAGATTGGGATACACTGAAAGAGAAAAAGAAATCGAGGCAGGACATTCATTTTACTTGTATTAATCCGACCTATGAGTGACAAAGGTAAAGATCCCCATCTTTGAAAGTCTGATTTCAACTCAATAATTAAAGGGGAGTCATTTGCTACATATAAGGAGGTTAATGTACGAGTAATGTTAATTTCTAAATGTTTAAATCCTGAAGGGCTGAGTTTGACAGGGATCTCAGTTTAAGAGCTAAGCAGTTGACTGGATAACTCACTTTTCGAAATATTTATTTTATAGCTTGAAATTAAACCAAATCTTTTCAGCATAAATATGATATGAGGAACACTTGTTATGGGATCTGAAACATACGATAGCAGATCATCTGCAAACAGAGATCATTTTAAATTAATACCGAACTGAGAAATTCCTTCAAAGTGTGGGAGTGAACGTGAAGCTATTGATAAAGGTTCAATAGCGAAGGCAAAAAGCAAAGGAGATAGAGGACAGCCCTGCCTCGTCCTGCGTCCCAGAGTAAAGTAATCAGACATCGTTTGTACAGACACTAGCCTGTGGGAATTATATAGCAACTGAATCCATGAAACAAAACGACTTCCGATGCCAAATGTATGTAGGACAGCGAACAGGTAGGTCCATTCCACTCGATCGAACGCTTTCTCAGCTGAAATCACTACTTCTGACTTGGTGTTAGAGTGATGGGATGCTATATGTAACAATAATTAGAATAATATAGTGTTAGGGATAGTTAATGCAATGGTGGAAATATGACTGACAGAAAAAAACTAGATTCGGTATGAGAGCTTGTGGGAATGAAGACACGATAAGGAGTATAACTGTATAAATAATAATTTGTATTGACAAAAATGTTGTAGACAGACAAAAAAAATAATTAGACCTTTGGACATACAGTAAACAACACATGGAAAAAACAGACCAATGAAAAGGGGAAAAAAAGTTGACACACAACAAAAAACCTTAAACCTTTATGGTTTGAGTTCAGGTCCGTTCTTTGCTTAGAAAGCAGAGTTCAGTTTTTAGTTTTTTTTTTTTTTTGTTTCTTGTACTTTAGGTTGAAGTACTCAGTTTAGTTCAAAAACAAAGTTCAAATAAATTTTAATCCGTGTGGAAGCAAGAAAAATTATAATCCAAATCAAGGTGTCCTCTTGTACGGGTAAACGTTGGAAAAAAAATATAAAGAGGTCCTACCAGTTGGTTGGTTCGTTTAGGGCTCAGCTCGCCACCTCTTACGAGGAATAGTGTTCAGGGTTCAGGGTAGGGAAAAAAACCTGACCGTCGAGTTTGAGAATTTTCTGTTTAGTTTCCTAGCAGTTCTGTGTGGAGTTCGTGAAGAGCTCAGCCGCAGTTCTGGTAACAGGAAGTGGGCTGCCGGTGTTCTGGGGCGCAGCCATTTTAACTATAGCGCCCCTGATGGCGGGCCAATGAATGGGTTATCAAGTTCGCCAGAGACGTGGGTTACATATAACATTATAAAAGAACTGGCGACCCTTGATGAAACCATTTTGTTCTTCAGAGATGATCAAGGGAAGATTTTTTTCTAAGCGACCTAAAACTTCAGCGAGGATCTTGACATCCACATTAAGAAGTGATACAGGTCTGTATGAGGCACAGGATGAAGGGTCTTTATCCTTTATCCCCCGGTCTAAAGATTCATTATATACAGAAAGCAAAATTGGGGCAATTTTCTCTGTATATTTTTTAAAAAATTCTGCAGAAAATCCATCTGGACCTGGTGTCTTGCCTTTGCGAATATTACTGATGGCATGTGAAGTTTCTGCCAGTTGAAGAGGGGCATCTAGCTGTTTAGCCAAAAGTGGATCAACTGTGGGTATGGAAAGGTCTTCAAGAAAAGATGTTAAGTCAGAAGCATTGGCCGTAGATTCTTATACAGAGTTGAATAATATTCCTTGAAAACCTCATTTATTGCGTTTGAATCAGAAACTAAATTCCCTGATGTATTCTTAAGTTGCGTTATTAATCTAGACGCTGCTTGGCGCTTAAGTTGATGAGCCAAGAGTCTACCAGGCTGTCACCAGGCTCATAGTGAGTTGCACGTGTCCAAAGCAACAGCCTTTCAGCCTCCTGTAGAGAGCAAGTTGTGTCATTAGTTGGCGACGGATGTCGTTAAAAGCAGCGTGAGCTTTAGCCGTCTTCGAGGTGTAGTCGGGGAAAACAGAAATGTTCATGTCCCTCATCTTGATACGCTGCAGCTCCCTGGCCTTGTGTAGAATGTTGACAGCATCCGTGTAGTAATGAAGCCTCGCAACGATAGCGCGAGGGCGTTCGCCGGGACCCGGCTTTGGTGCCAGTGAACGGTGTGCACGGTCCACAAGCGGTGCTTTGGTCAGCGAAAAGGCCTCCATCAAAAGATTAGACACATATTCACTGGACACAGAGTGACTCTCAGAGACTCCCACAACACGAACATTGTTCCTTCAGGACCTGGATTCCAAATCTTCGCATTTGTTCTCCAATTTGATGACATTTTCAGCCATAGACTGCATCTATGAGATAATATCATCAGTGCAAGTGGAAAGAGACTGCTCCATGTCCGTGACGGTGCCCCTCAGTCCCGCCAAGTCTTGTTTCATGACAGCGATATCAGATGAGATTTGTGTTTTAAATGCATGTAGTTCAGACTTAATCGCTGTAAGGTTTTCCCCCAAAGCCATTTGCAGCTCCGTCTTAAACATAGTCTTAATTTCTTCCCGGAGAGAAGAGAGCAGATCCGCCTTGAGAGCAGTAGCATCGACTTTAGCTAGCGGCATGCTAAGTGCCGGGGGCTGCTCTGAGAGCTGCTCTGAGAGCTGCTCTGGCTGCAGGGAGGATTCACCTGAAGGCGTGGACGAAGAGCTAGCAACAGGCCTCTGTTGAGGCGGAGGGGCGCTCTCTGCCTGGTTTAGGCATCGCAATCTTGCACAACGTAGGAAGAAAAAAGGTTGTTGTAGCTTCTAATATGAAGTCAAAGTTCAAAAAATAAAAAAAGATGTGCCAAAATTAGTGGATAATAACAATTTGCGCAGGAGCAGGCCGTTGCACGTCCTATCACATGTTCAGCTAACCGGAAGCCTCAGGCATATATATATTAATGAATTGAGGAACAATACAATTCAAAATATGTTGGATTGTTTTAGAAAGTCAGGCACTCTCTCCCTCTTCAGGCCCCCTAACACTAATGTCTGTTTGAGCCACATCTAACTTACTGTTAGATCATATGGAGTAACACTTATCAGTTATTTAGATAAATTACAAATCCTATATAATATAATTCTTATGTGAGCTATAATATGGTCAGATGATGAAGCTTCTGAAACTCACTGAGAGTAACATAATACATAATGAATGTATGATGTATAATGTTGTTTATAGTACTAGCTAAATGATCGGCTCTGTCACTCCATTCTTATGTTGACACATAACACTAGGAAAAAACACTTTCTGAAGGGCAAACGACTCAAACTCAAATGCACCAGCTTTATGTAAAAGCCCCAATATCTGGACACTACTTACTTTTAGGGACTGTGTGAATTGTGAATAAACTAAACTAAACTAAACTGATGCAGCATACTGGAAGTTCCCTTTTACGAAGCACTTATAAATTATAGGAAAAAGTTAAGTGTATGGACTTCTATGAATGTTTTGTAAAGGAAGAGGATTAATTGATTTAAAAAGCTGTACTGTGGCGTTTCCTGCAGGATAATTTTGGCTACGACCTCCCGGCGGTGGAGGCTGCCATGAAGAAGCACGAGGCCATAGAGGCAGACATCGCTTCGTATGAGGAGCGAATTGGCGTGGTGGTGGAGCTGTCCGCGGAGATGGAGACAGAGTGCTACTACGACATACGCCGCATCTTGGCACGCAAGGAAAACATCCTGGGCCAGTGGAGCCTGCTCAAGGAGCTGGTGGGAGGCCGACGTTCCCGGCTGGAGCAGAACCTGGCACTGCAGAAGACCTTCCAGGACATGGTCTACATGATCGACTGGATGGAGGACACTCAGGTACCACTCCTCTACTTCTTCTTACTATATGTTTTTATTTTCTCCGGTCTATTTTTAGTTAAGTTTAGTTTTAGGAAAATGTGAAGCATCATTAAAAGATGACTGCACCAGATTTAATACCAAGTTGTCCTTCACAATAAAACATACAAACATACTTAGTGATAGCATATATTCAACAAAAATATAAACGCAACACTTTTATTTTTGCTTCCATTTTCAATGAGATGGACTTAAAGATCTAAAATTCATTCCAGATACACAATATTACAATTTCTCTCAAACATTGTTCACAAATCTGTCTGAATGTGTGATAGTGAGCACTTATGCTTTGCTGAGATAATCCATCCCACCTCATAGGTGTGCCACATCAAGATGCTAACGCTGCTTTTACACCGGATCATGAGTTGCGTCGACTATCAATGCAAAGTCAATGGCGACGCGCGTTTGAGCGTCGAACTGAATGTGTGTCTCGGGACGCACGCACGGACTGCTCTGTAGAGACGCACGGACTGCTCTGTAGAGACACGGACTGCTCTGTAGAGACGCACGGACTGCTCTGTAGAGACGCACGGACTGCTCTGTAGAGACACGGACTGCTCTGTAGAGACGCACGGACTGCTCTGTAGAGACGCACGGACTGCTCTGTAGAGACACGGACTGCTCTGTAGAGACGCACGGACTGCTCTGTAGAGACGCACGGACTGCGCTGTAGAGACGCACGGACTGCTCTGTAGAGACGCACGGACTATTCAGTAGAGACACACGGACTGCTCTGTAGAGACGCACGGACTGCACTGTAGAGACGCACGGACTGCTCTGTAGAGACGCACGGACTGCTCTGTAGAGACGCACGGACTGCTCTGTAGAGACGCACGGACTGCACTGTAGAGACGCACGGACTGCTCTGTAGAGACGCACGGACTGCTCTGTAGAGACGCACGGACTGCTCTGTAGAGACGCACGGACTGCTCTGTAGAGACGCACGGACTGCTCTGTAGAGACGCACGGACTGCTCTGTAGAGACGCACGGACTGCTCTGTAGAGACGCACGGACTGCTCTGTAGAGACGCACGGACTGCACTGTAGAGACGCACGGACTGCTCTGTAGAGACGCACGGACTGCTCTGTAGAGACGCACGGACTGCTCTGTAGAAGACACGGACTGCGCTGTAGAGACGCACGGACTGCTCTGTAGAGACGCACGGACTGTTCTGTAGAGACGCACGGACTGCGCTGTAGAGACGCACGGACTGCTCTGTAGAGACGCACGGACTGCTCTGTAGAGACGCACGGACTGCACTGTAGAGACGCACGGACTGTTCTGTAGAGACACGGACTGCTCTGTAGAGACACGGACTGCTCTGTAGAGACGCACGGACTGCTCTGTAGAGACGCACGGACTGCTCTGTAGAGACGCACGGACTGCTCTGTAGAGACGCACGGACTGCTCTGTAGAGACGCACGGACTGCTCTGTAGAGACACGGACTGCGCTGTAGAGACGCACGGACTGCTCTGTAGAGACGCACGGACTGCGCTGTAGAGACGCACGGACTGCTCTGTAGAGACGCACGGACTGCTCTGTAGAGACGCACGGACTGCTCTGTAGAGACGCACGGACTGCTCTGTAGAGACGCACGGACTGCTCTGTAGAGACGCACGGACTGCTCTGTAGAGACGCACGGACTGCTCTGTAGAGACGCACGGACTGCTCTGTAGAGACGCACGGACTGCACTGTAGAGACGCACGGACTGCTCTGTAGAGACACGGACTGCTCTGTAGAGACGCACAGACTGCTCTGTAGAGACGCACGGACTGCGCTGTAGAGACGCACGGACTGCACTGTAGAGACGCACGGACTGCTCTGTAGAGACGCACGGACTGCTCTGTAGAGACGCACGGACTGCTCTGTAGAGACGCACGGACTGCACTGTAGAGACGCACAGACTGCTCTGTAGAGACGCACGGACTGCTCTGTAGAGACGCACGGACTGTTCAGTAGAGACGCACGGACTGTTCAGTAGAGACACACGGACTGCTCTGTAGAGACGCACGGACTGCTCTGTAGAGACGCACGGACTGCTCTGTAGAGACGCACAGGCTGTTCAGTAGAGACACACGGACTGCTCTGTAGAGACGCACGGACTGCTCTGTAGAGACGCACGGACTGCTCTGTAGAGATGCACGGACTGCTCTGTAGAGACGCACGGACTGTTCTGTAGAGACGCACGGACTGCGCTGTAGAGACGCACGGACTGCGCTGTAGAGACGCACGGACTGCGCTGTAGAGACGCACGGACTGCACGGCAAAGGCGCAGGAGATAGATTTTGCTGAGCATTTCCTTTAAAATGAGGCTTGGTGGTCGGTCATGAAAATTCATAGTTTTTTACGTCCCTAGTAAGAGTGTGTCATCAACCGTAGCATTCTAATGATCCTGGTTAAAGCCTAGACCGGTCATACAGTGGCTAATCTGCAACCATCATTCATATGTTTCCCGGCTTGTCCAGTCTACGGCTTAGAGCTGCTCACCTCTGTCCTCAGGTCCAGCTGCTGTCCAAAGACATGGGGAAACATCTTCTGGAGGTGGACGACTTGTTGCAAAAGCACAGTCTGCAGGAGGCCGACATCAGCATCCAGGCAGAGAGAGTGGAGACCCTCAACAACCAGGCACTCACATTCACCACCATACAAGGTACAGCACTACCTGCCTGTCCCCGCTGAGGTACACCCACCCATGCAGGGCCGGAGTGGGACAACATTTCAGGCCGGGAGCTTTTCATCCATTCAGGCCAAACAAGGTTCTAAATTTGGGTTTTTGTCATTGTATTTTGATGTTCTTTTAATAGTTTTAAGATTGACTGTCAAAACTTTTGTTTTCTTTATTTTTTTTTATATTTACTGTTTATATAATCTCGGACGTTTAAGGATTGTTGTACGTTGCTTAGCAACGTAACGTTTATGGAGTTTAGTGAGAATAAAGACACACACACACACACACACACAATGAACTAAGTGTTCATTAGTGTATAACTATAACAAGCTAATCAATTATTGTTAAAAAAGTAGTAAGGTAAAATCACATCGTTACAGCTCATATAAAAGGAAAAATAAAAACGTGTATGAACCATCAGTTGGAGAGACCACTCATTTCAACCGGGGAAGCTACACTGGGTGGACTGCTAGGCTGGCCTGGCTGTGTAGCCGACGTGTGACGTCACATTTGTTTAATTTTGCTCTGGCCCAATGACAGTAAAGATTTGGCCAGTGTTGTGCCAGTTCACAGCTTTTCTGAACTAGTTCAAGTTCAGTTCATACATGCTCAAAGTGAACAGTTCACGTTCGAAGTTCTCAATTTTCATTCTGAACTAGTTCAAAGTTCAGTTCATTTTACTTTTTGCAAGAGATATTCAAATAAATATTTTTTTTCACTACGAGCTAGAAATCACCATACGTGGTATATACATATATGTATATATATATGTTATATATAATTATATCCTGTACACTGCACAGGATGTTTTGACTCCAATGCAGATTGACATGGGTTTCAATGGGAACTGAGTTGTCCCATCTCTGCTCATAAGTACAAACTGTAATGCGCTGCAGAACGTGTGTCTATACTTTATGTCAAATGTAAACGGCCCTGTGTCACTGACTTACCCCTGTGTTTTCATCACGGCACATGTGAGTCCAACAACCAATGAATAGCACTAGCATATAGCGCCGCACCGCAAGTACACTGAGTCAGGGTGCGTTCACAGACGGTGGAAACCGTAGGAATTTTTAGTTTTCGGCGGAAACAGTGCGGAGAATACAGGAGGGAGGAACTTTCTCTCGTTGCGTTTCAAAAGAGAAAACAGATTTCACTCAGTTTTAAATGGAAAACAAATTGTCTGCCGTTCATGACACATAATATAAACTTTTTCATTATTAAAAAATGTGTTGCGTTCAGTTCAACGTTCACGAAAAAATGAGCGTGTTCAATGAACGCGTTCTTTTGAACTCGTTCACGCACAACACTGGCTTTGGCCTGGGCCTTGCTCATTGGACCAGGCCACCAGGCAGGGTAGGAGTTTGCAAAGACCGTGAGGATGAAATTAAATTAAAAAAAAAAAAAAAAAAAAAAAAAAGACCGTGATGATAGGGCAGGCCCAGGCCACTTTGACACGCAGGCCACCGGGAGATCTCCCGATGCTCCCGATGGCCAGTCCGGGCCTGCACCCATGTAAATGTAAGTATTAATCTTTATGTATATACCGCCTTTCACAGACCAGAGTCTCAAAGCGGTTTACAATTGTTATTTTTGGGCACTTGTCTCTCACTCCACACAGAGATGGGAGGGGCCAGTACAGGAGGCGCATACCAGACCTATTGTACATGATTTTAGGGGTAGGGGAAACCAGAGTACCCGAAGGAAACCTACGCAGACACGGGGAGAACATGCAAACTCCACTCAGAAAGGCCCTGGTCAAACTGGGATTCGAACCCAGGACCTTCTTGCTGATAAGCGAGAGTGCTATCCACTCAGCCACCGTGCCACCCACGGTGTTTCCTTTTCTTTTAGTGATTGACATATTTATATTCTACTTTAAAAAAAAAGACTTCTAAAAATCCCCCACATTTCAATGCCCTTGGATTGTCTGTTGAGCCCCACTCTATCTGGTCTCTTCTATAGCTTCCTGTTTTTTCCCTAAAAATGTAAATGTTTTCTTCCTTCAGGTTACCAGCCCTGTGACCCTCAGGTGATCTGTAACCGTGTCAGCCATGTTTCCTCGTGTCTGGACGAGCTCAAACTGCTGGCCTCCAAAAAGCGTGAGGATCTGGAGGAGTCGCGGATGCTATGGGCCTTCTTTCAGGTCTGACCTAAGTTGCAGAGTGTTTGCCCTTGTCTCCAGTGGCTGCATTGTTTCCCTCTGTGTGTTGCAGGAGGTGGAGGAGTCTGAAGTTTGGATCAGGGAGAAGACCTCCATTCTGGCCACGCAGGGCTTGGGCAAAGATCTGAGCAGTGTGTTACGGCTCCTGCAGAAGCACAAGGGCCTGGCCGGGGAGCTGCTGGCCCACCGCTCACTCCTGCAGGTGTGTGCCCCACCTCAGTTTGGGTCTGACCTGCTCTGCAAACACACACTGATTTACACCAGGGGAAACTGACAAATGCTCATGCAAGTATTTTGACCAGAATCCTTCCGGAATTTGTATTCACTTCTCAAAACCTACTTGTTCCATTTCAGTTTTTCTATGTGTTTTGTGAAGCATATTAGACTTTCCGAATAGCGCTATAAAACTTTGAAGCATTGTTATTATCATTTTGATCAGCTTCACAGACTCTTTAGCAGATTGTAATGTTTGATGCCCCTTGTATCACAGAGCACGATGAAGCAGGGCAAGCAGCTTCTGAGCGAGAAGAGCCTGCTGGCTGTGGGAATCCAGGATCGAATCCTGGAGGTGAAGGAGGAGTGGAAACATCTGGAGGAGCAGGCTGCACAGCGCCTGGGCCACCTGCAGGAGGCGCTCAACTTCTTCCAGTTCTCCACCGAGATGGACGACCAGGTGGCATGGCTGCAGGACGCCTACCGCCTTGTGTCCAGCGAAGACTTTGGCCACGATGAGTACTCAACCCAGTCTCTGCTCAAGAAGCACAGAGGAGTGACAGAGGCTGTGGAGAAACACCGCATGCATGTAGTGACACTGCGCAAGCATATGGTGGCGCTGCCCCTGCAGTACCGCGAACAAGAGGTGACCATTATTATTATTAGTTTATTTGATATGGACATATCAACTGCATTGGACAAACCAGATACATTGTTTCCAGTGTTATAGCAAAACTGCTAATTTGCAACACCCGTCCATAGGAGGCTACACATTTCAAAAAACACAATACAATACAGTACAATATTTAAAAAGGTAAACAATACACAATTACACATCATCAGTATACATTTCATACAGTGTTACCATGTGAGCAGTTTTGACTTGACTTCAGCCATTGTTTCAGACCTCTGTAAAAACTGTTCATGTCAGTCTGCAGTTTTAAATCAGTGGGCAGAGAGTTCCACAGTCTGGATCATCCTTTACTTACACCATGCCTACTTGTTTTAATGTAAATTTAGTTGTGGCTAAATATATCAGACATTCACATACTTACAGAGAAAACCATAGTAAAAAAAAACCATACATACCCACAAGGATGGAGCAGGAGAGGCTCGGGCTGTGCTACATAGTGGTGTATCGAGAGTGGGTCCACAGATAGAGAACAGGTCATTGGTCTCCACACTGTACGCGTTGGGGGGATGACGCACAAAATTCCTGATTGGTCAACCAGGACACAGTGGCCCCCCATGCACACCAACAATCCTCTTATTTATGTATCAAAAATAACCCGTTATAAACTGTGCTGCATCTGATTTGGAGTATTTCTTTTATCATAAGTAATATAAAATAATAATATTTTCTTACATTATTTACCCCACCCTGCCTCCAACACACAGACACCCCGTCACCCCCACCCTGCCTCCAACACAGACACTCCGTCACCCCCACCCTGCCTCCAACACAGACACCCCATCACCCCCACCCTGCCTCCAACACAGACACCCTGTCACCCCCACCCTGCCTCCAACACAGACACCCTGTCACCCCCACCCTGCCTCCAACACAGACACCCTGTCACCCCCACCCTGCCTCCAACACAGACACTCCGTCACCCCCACCCTGCCTCCAACACAGACACCCCGTCACCCCCACCCTGCCTCCAACACAGACACCCCGTCACCCCCACCCTGCCTCCAACACAGACACTCCGTCACCCCCACCCTGCCTCCAACACAGACACCCCGTCACCCCCACCCTGCCTCCAACACAGACACTCCGTCACCCCCACCCTGCCTCCAACACAGACACCCCGTCACCCCCACCCTGCCTCCAACACAGACACCCTGTCACCCCCACCCTGCCTCCAACACAGACACTCCGTCACCCCCACCCTGCCTCCAACACAGACACCCTGTCACCCCCACCCTGCCTCCAACACAGACACTCCGTCACCCCCACCCTGCCTCCAACACAGACACCCCGTCACCCCCACCCTGCCTCCAACACAGACACCCCGTCACCCCCACCCTGCCTCCAACACAGACACTCTGTCACCCCCACCCTGCCTCCAACACAGACACCCCGTCACCCCCACCCTGCCTCCAACACAGACACCCCGTCACCCCCACCCTGCCTCCAACACAGACACTCCGTCACCCCCACCCTGCCTCCAACACAGACACCCCGTCACCCCCACCCTGCCTCCAACACAGACACTCCGTCACCCCCACCCTGCCTCCAACACAGACACCCTGTCACCCCCACCCTGCCTCCAACACAGACACCCCGTCACCCCCACCCTGCCTCCAACACAGACACCCTGTCACCCCCACCCGCCTCCAACACAGACACCCTGTCACCCCCACCCTGCCTCCAACACACAGACACCCCGTCACCCCCACCCTGCCTCCAACACAGACACCCTGTCACCCCCACCCTGCCTCCAACACAGACACCCTGTCACCCCCACCCTGCCTCCAACACAGACACTCCGTCACCCCCACCCTGCCTCCAACACAGACACCCTGTCACCCCCACCCTGCCTCCAACACAGACACCCTGTCACCCCCACCCTGCCTCCAACACAGACACCCGTCACCCCCACCCTGCCTCCAACACAGACACCCCGTCACCCCCACCCTGCCTCCAACACAGACACCCCGTCACCCCCACCCTGCCTCCAACACAGACACCCCGTCACCCCCACCCTGCCTCCAACACAGACACTCCGTCACCCCCACCCTGCCTCCAACACAGACACCCCGTCACCCCCACCCTGCCTCCAACCAGACACCTCACCCGTCACCCCCACCCTGCCCACACGCACTCCGTCACCCCCCACACCCCCTCCAACACAGACACTCCGTCACCCCCACCCTGCCTCCAACACAGACACCCGTCACCCCCACCCTGCCTCCAACACAGACACCCCGTCACCCCCACCCTGCCTCCAACACAGACACCCCGTCCCCCCACCCTGCCTCCAACACAGACACCCGTCACCCCCACCCTGCCTCCAACACAGACACGACGCACACAGACCCCGTCACCCCCACCCTGCCTCCAACACAGACACCCCGTCACCCCCACCCTGCCTCCACACAGACCCACCACAGACACCGTCACCCCCACCCTGCCTCCAACACAGACACTCCGTCACCCCCACCCTGCCTCCAACACAGACACTCCGTCACCCCCACCCTGCCTCCAACACAGACACCCCGTCACCCCCACCCTGCCTCCAACACAGACACCCCGTCACCCCCACCCTGCCTCCAACACAGACACCCCGTCACCCCCACCCTGCCTCCACACACAGACCCCCGTCACCCCCACCCTGCCTCCAACACAGACACCCGTCACCCCCACCCTGCCTCCAACACAGACACTCCGTCACCCCCACCCTGCCTCCAACACAGACACTCCGTCACCCCCACCCTGCCTCCAACACAGACACCCCGTCACCCCCACCCTGCCTCCAACACACCCGTCACCCCAGACAGACCCCGTCACCCCCACCCTGCCTCCAACACAGACACCCCGTCACCCCCACCCTGCCTCCAACACAGACACCCGTCCCCCCACCCTGCCTCCAACACAGACACTCCGTCACCCCCACCCTGCCTCCAACACAGACACCCGTCACCCCCACCCTGCCTCCAACACAGACACCCCGTCACCCCCACCCTGCCTCCAACACAGACACCCCGTCACCCCCACCCTGCCTCCAACACAGACACCCGTCACCCCCCCTGCCTCAACACAGACCCCGTCACCCCCACCCTGCCTCCAACACAGACACCCGTCACCCCCACCCTGCCTCCAACACAGACACCCTGTCACCCCCACCCTGCCTCCAACACAGACACCCGTCACCCCCCTGCCTCCAACACAGACACTCCGTCACCCCCACCCTGCCTCCAACACAGACACCCTGTCACCCCCACCCTGCCTCCAACACAGACACCCCGTCACCCCCACCCTGCCTCCAACACAGACACTCCGTCACCCCCACCCTGCCTCCAACACAGACACTCCGTCACCCCCACCCTGCCTCCAACACAGACACCCCGTCACCCCCACCCTGCCTCCAACACAGACACCCCGTCACCCCCACCCTGCCTCCAACACAGACACCCCGTCACCCCCACCCTGCCTCCAACACAGACACCCCGTCACCCCCACCCTGCCTCCAACACAGACACTCCGTCACCCCCACCCTGCCTCCAACACAGACACCCTGTCACCCCCACCCTGCCTCCAACACAGACACCCCGTCACCCCCACCCTGCCTCCAACACAGACACTCCGTCACCCCCACCCTGCCTCCAACACAGACACTCCGTCACCCCCACCCTGCCTCCAACACAGACACCCCGTCACCCCCACCCTGCCTCCAACACAGACACCCGTCACCCCCACCCTGCCTCCAACACAGACACTCCGTCACCCCCACCCTGCCTCCAACACAGACACTCCGTCACCCCCACCCTGCCTCCAACACAGACACCCCGTCACCCCCACCCTGCCTCCAACACAGACACTCCGTCACCCCCACCCTGCCTCCAACACAGACACCCGTCACCCCCACCCTGCCTCCAACACAGACACCCCGTCACCCCCACCCTGCCTCCAACACAGACACTCCGTCACCCCCACCCTGCCTCCAACACAGACACCCGTCACCCCCACCCTGCCTCCAACACAGACACTCCGTCACCCCCACCCTGCCTCCAACACAGACACCCGTCACCCCCACCCTGCCTCCAACACAGACACCCGTCACCCCCACCCTGCCTCCAACACAGACACTCCGTCACCCCCACCCTGCCTCCAACACAGACACCCGTCACCCCCACCCTGCCTCCAACACAGACACCCCGTCACCCCCACCCTGCCTCCAACACAGACACCCGTCACCCCCACCCTGCCTCCAACACAGACACCCCGTCACCCCCACCCTGCCTCCAACACAGACACCCCGTCACCCCCACCCTGCCTCCAACACAGACACCCCGTCACCCCCACCCTGCCTCCAACACAGACACCCCGTCACCCCCACCCTGCCTCCAACACAGACACCCCGTCACCCCCACCCTGCCTCCAACACAGACACCCCGTCACCCCCACCCTGCCTCCAACACAGACACTCCGTCACCCCCACCCTGCCTCCAACACAGACACCCTGTCACCCCCACCCTGCCTCCAACACAGACACCCCGTCACCCCCACCCTGCCTCCAACACAGACACTCCGTCACCCCCACCCTGCCTCCAACACAGACACCCTGTCACCCCCACCCTGCCTCCAACACAGACACCCCGTCACCCCCACCCTGCCTCCAACACAGACACTCCGTCACCCCCACCCTGCCTCCAACACAGACACCCCGTCACCCCCACCCTGCCTCCAACACAGACACTCCGTCACCCCCACCCTGCCTCCAACACAGACACCCTGTCACCCCCACCCTGCCTCCAACACAGACACCCTGTCACCCCCACCCTGCCTCCAACACAGACACTCCGTCACCCCCACCCTGCCTCCAACACAGACACTCCGTCACCCCCACCCTGCCTCCAACACAGACACTCCGTCACCCCCACCCTGCCTCCAACACAGACACCCCGTCACCCCCACCCGCCTCCAACACAGACACCCCGTCACCCCCACCCTGCCTCTCCTGTCAATCACCGTTGATACAGTGGAGCTTTTCTACTCTACTTTTTCTACATGGTGAAATCACTCTCTACCTCATCCATACAATTCACCTACAGCAGGAAGCCCACCTGAGCCATGGATCTATAATAATATCTGGATAGGGGATTGCTAGCTTACCGCAGACTAAATTCTTGTGGGCTACCCAGAAAAATGTCCAATAGAACTCAATTTAAAATAAAACAGCTCGACCTCAGCTGACAGAGAACATCAAATTTTGTGGTGATTTTAGTGTCCCTTGTCTTGAACTTTTTTTATGGTTAAATCCTTCGATTGTCTATAAATCTACACTTTAATGCAACAAACTCTGATTGTTTGGCTCCCACTCTAGCTCTGCTCTGATCACCAGCCGCTGATCCCCTCTGTGCACGTGCATTAGAGCACACATGTGCATTTGACGCAAAACATCATGGGAGCTCGCCCACAACGCTGACGAAGGACCATGCCCAAATATGAGTTCCGCTATCTTTTGGTCGCCATGGCGCTACTGAGCACAAGCCATTGATTTGAATAGGGCGCTGGATCACTGGGCTTGATCTGACCAGTGTGTGTGTGTGTGTAGGAGGTGCAGGTGCGAATCACTGACTTGGAGCAGCTGTACACTGAGGTGGTGGAGGTGTCTGTCCTTCGGCAACAGTGGCTCCTGGATGCTCTGGCCGTATACCGCATGTTTAGCGAGGTCAACGCCTGTGAGCTGTGGATTGACGAGAAGGAGCAGTGGTTGGACAAGATGGAGGTGCCCGAGCGGCTGGAGGACGTGGAGGTGGTGGCTCACAGGTATCCTACACTGCTCAGTGCGTTTGACCAACAACACTCAACAATCACGATGGTGGAGGGGTAGAGGAAGTTTGGTTTGTAACTTTAACAGTCTGAGAGGGTGGGAACTTCTCTCTACTACTCTAACTATAATTCAGCCCTGCCCTAGTTTAGAACATACCATTATATATCATTGTATCAAATAGGAATAGAATAAATAGTCCAGAAATGCTGTATAAAATGCATACATCATAGAATAAGATGCTTCAGCTGTTTAAATGGCGGATTGAGGTGGGGAGGAAGCTGGATGTGGTTGCTGTTAGCTACAGTAGCTGTAGCTACAGTAGCTGTAGCTAACAGCAACTTTCTCTTCCCTAGCTGAAACTGAATCCTCTCTTGCTACCTACAGTACATTAAAATGTTGTGGTGGTTCCATCATGCTGTGGGGCTGTGTGTCCAGGCACTGTAATCTTGTCATGGATTTTTACTCATTATCAGCAGATTCTGGAGAACAATGTCCAATGTGTTTTTTTTTTTTTTTTTTTTTTATATAAATGATACAAAGGCATACAAAAGTGACACATAGACATACAAAAGTGACACATAGACACACAAAAGTGACACATCATGTGACAGTGCAAGGAGAATCCCAATCAAAGATGGCGGCTGCGGGTGTGACAGGGGCTGTCACTGCGCTCCTAGTCTACTTTTTGTTTGTAAACCTTGCAAACAATACAACTCACATAAAAGGAAAATACTCACCTATGTTTGACTGGAATTCTACAATTCCCAAACCTGAAGATCAGAGCTACAAACAAACGAATTATCATGAGTTGGCAAAGGCAAGCATCAGTCATGGAAAGTATACGCTGGGTATGACTTTTGTCTATCCGTCACTTTACAAAGTACAAAGAACAAAGAAAGTACAAAGAACAACACAGATGTCTGGACTCATTGTCACAATATGTCTGATGCTATCCGGTGACATTCACCCATGCCCTGGCCCTCACGATCATCACACGGAGACACGGCTACCGGGAGATGCTAACCTGCTATCGCTATCATCAGAGAGTACACGCGTTACTCCTACCTTACAGGTAAGCTCCCCGGGTATTCCATCGTGTTGTGAAGCACACCACGCTGATCCTTCGCCTCTTCTGTGTCCATCGCAAACTGCTTCCAAGCGGTCTGTCCGAGATGAGGGTCCTAAGGGCGACGTTGGAGCCGCGGGGGCGAGTGGGCCGTTTGGTGATGGCTCGCATTGGATGGCACCGTGTCCACATCTGTGCACTGAAGATTCGGATAAAGTCCACTCGCGGAGTTCCTGTGATCAATGCGCTACACCTTCGGTCCCGTGTCTGGACAATGCGCGTGGTACAGATCAGATAACTTCTTTTTCCGCGGCTACTCCAAGACCTCCATTGAGAAGTGTGACACGCTGTGGCACACACCGTAAATTAATTAATCCAGGGATCACGAATCACAGGAAATGGGCGTTTTTTCAAACTGTCAATCATTCTAAACTCATCTGGGACCCGAAGTCAAAACCCAAAGGAATTTTAGGCGGACATATAAACATAAGAAGCGTTTTATCGAAATCTGATCAAATCAGTCACTTGTTACTCAAATCTAACCTAGACTACCTTTGCTTATCGGAATCATGGCTACATAAAAATTCCCCTTCTGCAGCACTTAATATCCCAGGATACAAACTGTTCAGGAAAGACAGAGAAGGAGCCAAGGGCGGTGGAGTTATGATATACTTAAAACAACATTTCAAATGTGATGTTGTTCAATGGGTGGATGGGCTGGAATGCCTAGGTCTGAAGATAATACTTTCACCAGAAATGACATTTATGATTATTGTTATGTATCGGCCACCGTCATCTGACGCAAGCTTCTATGAAAAATTTGCTAAAATACTTAAAGAATGTGACCTAAGCAAGGAGATCATAATTTTAGGAGATTTTAATATAAACTGGGAAGACGCATCATGTAGGAAAAATCTCAAAAGAATAATGGACAAATTTGAATTTTCCCAAATGGTGAAAGGACCTACAAGAATAACCTCAATAAGTAGTACGCAAATTGATTTAGCATTCACAAACCGACCTGAAAGAATAATGAAATCCTTTAATTTTGTATCTGGTCTGTCTGACCACAATCTGATTCTTGTGACCAGAAAGCTCTCAAATCAGAGATTTCACTCATATAGCAGTGACAATGAATATGTGGGAATTCCCAAAAACATGCAGGAAATGTTCAGAAACTCGATTCAACAAACTAACTGGGATCAACTACTGCAGGGTAAAGACATTGATGAAGACAGTAAATCATTCTTAAAAACTATAGAGCAATTAATTAAGGAACACAGTGCTAAAATCAATAGGAAACAAAATAAAAATCAATTACCTTGGATGGATCAGGATATTTTAAAACTGATGAAGGAAAGAGATTTTGCACTTAAAAAAGCAATGAAAAATAAGACAAATACTGCTAGAAAGCTGTTCACATCGTTGCGAAATAAAGTTGTATATCGTATACGTAGGGCCAAAGCTAATTTCTTCCTAACCATAATAGAAAATGCTAAAGGGAACTCTAAAATTATTTGGAATCATCTGAAGAAATTAGTAGGACAGGACGCTAAAAGGAAAACACTTTCAGAAATTAGGGTGAATGGACAAGTGTTAAAAAACCCACTTATAATTGCTGAGGCAACAAATGTTTTTTTCTCCGAGTCTGTATCCGCGATCGCTGGATCTTTCCCCTCAACCAAGATGACTGTTTATCCAACGAACACCTTGGAACCATCCTTCGCCTTTGTTGATGTGACAGAGGCTGAAGTTGGACAGATGATAGGGTCACTTAAATCATCAAGAACTAAAGATATTTTTGGCATGGATTCATTTATGGTAAAAGAACTCAGCACTGTATTCATTCCACCCATAACTAAAATGATAAACTATTCTATATCCCAGAATCAGTTTCCTACTATCTGGAAAAAAGCTGCCGTCATCCCAATCCATAAATCTGGTGATCCTATGTCTCTGTGCAATTATAGGCCAATAAGTATTCTCCCAACAGTTTCCAAGATTGCAGAAAAGCTCATTGCTCAACAAATAGCTACCCATCTAAACACAACACAATTCTCCCTTCACCCAATGCAATTCGGTTTCAGGGCGCAACATTCCACAGAAACAGCAAATGTTTACCTCATAGAAAATGTAAAAAAATTACTGGATAAAAATGGAGTTGTAGGAGCAGTGTTTCTTGACCTCAAAAAAGCGTTTGACACTGTAAATCATGAAATACTCATCTCAAAGCTCAGCAAATTCAATTTTTCACAAAGTACAATAAAATGGACAAAGTCATATCTATCAGATCGCGTACAGTCTGTCAGGATCAATAATCACTGCTCCCCCTTTCTCCCATTGTCCACCGGTGTCCCACAAGGTTCCGTTTTAGGCCCACTACTCTTTTCACTTTACATCAACGACCTTCCATCAGTGTGCCCGCATGCAAATGTTCAAATGTACGCAGATGATACAGTAATTTACATACACGCCAAAAACCCCACACAAGCTGCCGACAAACTATCACAGTCTATGGTTCATGTCACAAATTGGTTAAATCAGTGCTGCCTAAAGCTCAATGTCAATAAAACGGTTGGTATGTTCTTCTCAAAATCCAACACCTCATATGATAACATCAATATCTCAGTTTCCGGTCAAAAAATTCAAATCGTGACAGAATACAAATATCTGGGAGTAACGATAGACTCAAAGCTGACATTCAAATCCCACATAAAAAACATTTCCAATAAAGTCAAATTCAACCTAGCTAATTTCCGGTTCATCAGATCCAACTTATCACTTCAGTCCGCAAGATTATTCATGTTTTCTATGGTTCTGTCTCACATTACATACTGCTTAACCACATGGTCACAGGCAAACAAAACATCCCTAAAACCAATAGAATCCTTATACAAGCAAACACTCAAGATACTGGACAAAAAACCACAAAGATTTCACCACTGTTCCATTTTACAAAAACACCATCTTCTAAATTGGACAAATGTCATCAAATACTCTAATCTCTGTCTCATTTACAAGATCATTCATGGTTCATCTTCACCTCCTCTCAATCAATTTATCACAGTCAGGAACACCACACACAGGGTAACCAGGGGGGCCGCCCGTGGGGACTGTGTTATCCCACTCCGGAAGAGCGCCTTCAGCCAGAGTGCCTTCTCTGTGAGGGCGTCTCAGGAGTGGAACACAGTCCCATCAAACATCAGAGAACTGGCCTCATACAATCTGTTCAAAACTCATCTCAAATCATGGTTCATTACAAAACAGTCCTGTCAACACTAACTTTTAACTAATTGTATATATGGTAAATGTACACTGTTTTTATCATTGTTGTTTTGTATACAAGTGTTGTGTTTGCTTTTAGGTTGACATTTTAAATCTGTCCAGGGACAACGGATGGAAAATAGCCTTGTGGCTAATTCTGGTACATTTACAGTAATGTTCATTAATGTACACTGTCCCTGTCAAATAAACTAATAAATAAAATAAATAAATAAATAGACATACAAAAGTGACACATAGACACACAAAAGTGACACATAGACACACAAAAGGGACACATAGACATACAAAAGTGACACATAGACACACAAAAGTGACACATAGACATACAAAAGTGACACATAGACATACAAAAGTGACACATAGACATACAAAAGTGACACATAGACATACAAAAGTGACACATAGACATACAAGTGACACATAGACATACAAAAGTGACACATAGACATACAAAAGTGACACATAGACATACAAAAGTGACACATAGACACACAAAAGTGACACATAGACACACAAAAGGGACACATAGACATACAAAAGTGACACATAGACATACAAAAGTGACACATAGACACACAAAAGTGACACATAGACACACAAAAGGGACACATAGACATAGAAAAGTGACACATAGACACACAAAAG